TTAACATGGGAGACTTTCAAGGCCTAACTCACCGCTGACCTAAAACAACCCGATGGTCCGAGACACATTTGATCTTGATGAACCCCGAGACTTAAAAAAAAATCTGTCAACTGACAGGACATGAGTGGAGCTTGTTGGAAAATGGAGATCCCATTACATTTGCCATGTAACCTAAAACTGTTATGCATTTCAGGGCCCAGCCCGACCTGGCCTCGTTTCAAACCCAAGTTGGGCGTCTTAGCGTTAGCCGTCAGGGCCCAGTCCAAGCCCTGGAATTCCAAGAGCTGAAGTTCCATTCAAGAGATGAGGCTATTTTGAAGTCAGATTTTGATAGGTTAATTGGTCATGGGGCTGGATACAGAGATGAGTCAAATTCCAGATCTCTCAGTCAAAGGTTGCATTAGACCCATCAATTTATAATTGATAATAGTGATACTTATTTGCATTTAATTTTCACCCATCCATTCATTATCTAACACATTTATCCCTGCAGAGTCATGAGGAGGAGTGGTGCCTTTCTCCAGCAGTCAATGGGCAAGAGGAGGGGTAGACCATGGACAGGTCGCCAGGCCATTGTATTTCATTTTCATTCGATTTAATTAATATTCTACAAGCCGGATATAGAATTCACAAATGAATAAATGTAACTTTTTCTCTGCAGTAACAAAAAACAGACAGTTTTTTATTACTACAGTAATAAATTAACAAATTTAAATCATAGCACTTAAATTATGGGCACCTACTTGTACTTAATCAGCTGTCTTAGGGATGTTATCTTGATCAAAATTATGTCGATCTGCTGCAGTGGTTCAACAAATCCAGCTTTTTTGACTGATTTAGGTAAAGCAGAGGGTTTTTTTTTTTTTTTTTTGCCATAAACCCTATAACCTCCAGCTCATCGCTTGCGGCTCTATCCAATGCAACCAAGTGGATCTTAATGAAGTGCTCAGAATACTTTTCATGACTTTCCAATCAAGTCGTGGGTCAAACCCAGCTTGTCATGAGGACACCTACTCTCTTGTAGTAAGTGTCATTTTGTTCTGTTGCCTATCTGATCTCTAATCCTCACCTTACTGCTCTCTCCTTCCTTTCTGACTGTCCATTTTTTCACAAAAACATTAAGTATGCATTTAAGCAGCAGAGCTAAAGTAGTGATTTGACTATTTGCTATTTAAGGAAGCTTTTGTGTTTGCCTCTTTAGGCCACTGCTGAGGATACCATGTGGGAGCAAAAAAGGTTCTAGAGAGGCTTATGGATAGTTTTCTTGACAAGTTCCGATTGCAATTTGTTCCACACAAAATACAGCTAAATACAAAAATATGCGTTGTTCTGATTCGGTTTTCAGTTTGTGGCTGTAGCAGAAAATAGGTTTTGTAGCAGAAAATAGGTTTTGTCTGCATGATGGTGAAATGTATTTGGGGAGACTTCTCTCCGCAAATTATAGTCTTTGCTAGTCCTAATCAGATCTCAAAACCAACGAGATAGGATATCTCTGCTTATCCCAGCAGCACCAACAAATTTACATTTCACACATATACACACATGCACACACACCTACAAGCAGACACATACACAAACACATACAGATAGAGTATTAGTACACCTGGCTGTCAATACCTCTGGTTCACCAAGACGTCCCTAAAGACTGAACGCTCTTTTTCCAATCACTGTGTGGGGTAGTCAACTAATTCTTTGTACATGCATGTGTGCATTGAGAGTGTATGTTTTCCGCTGGCACCTTTCAACCTTGGCAGAAATGTGTCTCCTGCCACTTACAGGAACAAATTTATCTTTGGGCTTTGGTTTGGTTTTCGTCTCCAATGTGGGAGCATGTGGGCATATGCATGTGTGGGTAATGTAGCTGAGGAGTCTGCTCATTATCACCAGTGAGCATGTGGTCAAAGCTTGAAGAAAAAAAGATGAAAAAAAAAGGGTGTGGAAAGTTGTGACTAAAGAGGGTAGGGTGGGGGTAATGCAAGGGGCTCAGGATGTGAAAATACTCATTCTGTTTGTTGTGGTGAAGATAGAAAAGCTCATTTGACTCATGATTGTGTACAAGAAATTACTATCATAAAAATAAAGATCAAATGCTTTTTTGTCATTGTCCCTGTCCTCTTCTTTAGAAGAAAAAAAAAGGCATATGGAGACAATGAGTTTTATGGCGAGCATACATCGAGCGATTCAGTGGAATTTTAGCAAAATACTGTGTGTGTTTTCCCAGCTTGCCTTAGTAGTGTCTTGTTGTGGTCACTGGCCATGTGGGTGGCCTTGGGTTTGCTTCGGCTGCTCAGAATCATTTCCATTTAAACATATCTGCGGTCCTCAAAGCAAACCACCAATGGATCCACTCCATCGGAGGTAACACCAAAAGCTTTGCCCTTCGCGTGACCGCCGGTATGCATTGTGCGTGTCATGTTTATCATGTGTGTGTTTATGCTTACGCCGTTTGAATGTGTGAATACAGCCAATTCGCTGTCGCCTGTCCTGTGGCAAACTGGCAAAAAAACCGATTTCTCATGCAGTCCCGAAACAAAGTTGAAGCAGTGTGAGTGTTGATGGATTGATGTGTTTTGAATAGCAGGGCCCCTTTAGGGCATTGTCTTCAAATCATCAGTGACTCCTCTCTGAGGGGTTCCTTCCCACCTCAAACAGTTGTGCAGATTGGATCACTGGGAAAGAATTTGGACAGCTTTTCAGAAGACACCATCATTTATGTGTCTTTCACTTTCTTTGTCTTTGAGAGATAGAGCGTTTTTAGTGGGCAGAGGGGATCTAGGAGTCAACTGACTGGAAAATTTCACATAAGATAAACTAAGTCTATAATGAAACGTAAGCAGGGATGTTCCCCCATAAAGATCAACCACTTTATTAGTTACACCTGATTATTTGCTTAATACAATCACATAGAATGATAAATCTAAATGGTAAGAAGACATCTTGCTTATGTTCAAATAGAGGAACACAAGAGGGTAGAAAGAGGATTTAAGTGACTTTGCACATGGTATTGTTGTTTGACCCAGATGGATCATTGTCTCACTATCTGATCTTTGCATTAGTCTTTGGATCATTTCGAAAACAGTAATGTACCTTCCATCCCACAGTATATGCTATCTCCAAATGTCTAAATTTACAAGGGGGTAAACATTAAATTTGTCCATGTTTAATAAAATTTTAAATACTTTGCAGCTTTTTTCAAGTCAAATTAGATGTCACAGGATTAAAATATAATTAGTAAATGTCCATGGTTCACTTTAGGTTAAAGAACAAAGAGTGAAGGGTTGGCTTTCTAACCTAAACCACGGGGCCACAAAATGTCATGGATCTGATGACAAAATATTCCTCTCAGTCATTAGAGCAGATGTCTCCAACCCTGGCCCTCAAGATCTATGTCCTGCAACATGTGATTAAAATGAAAAACTCATTAGCATGCCACTGCCAAACATTGCAAACTGAGAACAAAATCAAATCATTTGATTCAGCTGCATTGGAGCAGGAATGTGCCCCAAAAGCTGTAGGACAGTAGACGTGGAGTAACAGTGTGGTGCATGATATCATAAAAACCAGCAGTATACCATAATGTTGGTGAATACTGCAGTGATCGTATGACTTGCAATTAAGAGGTCCCAGGTGACTTTGCTGCTGAAAATAACCATGTGATGGTTTTATTGAAAACTTTGTTTTATTTTCTTGACTTTACCAGAACATTTGATGTTGAACATCCCCACTGACCCTTGACTGTTGTGGAGCTAAAGACTCATGTTATGGATGTGGAGCTGATAAATCTGCAGCAATTGCGTGACAGAATGATGTCAACATAGACCAAAGTTTTTGAGGAATGTTTTGTTAAGGCTGTCCCATAAAGAATAAAGTATGAATGTATTTTAAATAAATGTTTTCCAATTTGCAACATGAATCGTTTTGGCTTCATTTGTGTTCCTTTTCCTCTGTTAAACTGTATGGTTCTTGTTGTCCATCTCTATTTCTTACAAGAATTTTAATTTTGTCTGTGGAAAGTTCTTGAGTCTGTTTGCATTAGGACTTTTAGCATTCTAGTGTCCAGTCGTCATTAAGGCTGAAGCGCTTACACAAAACATAGATGAACATTTATCACTCACATGAAGGACTGTGGTAATAGGGTGCGACTGCTCCACAGAAACAGGACTGCTTTCCCAAGGCAGCTTTTTGCATACACACAGCACCCACTTTCTCATAAATCATCTAGTGGAGTGGAAGGAATCACAAAGCTGATTGGATGGGTGTTATACCAAAACAGTTCCAACTTATTATCCCGTGACAGATGACAAGCAAGTCAACTTAAACACATAGAAAAAAAACCCCAGAATGCTAGCGATAATTGCAGTGACCAAGTTGAAGGACCCAAAACCTAAAAAATAAGACAGCAGAGATCACTATTCTAAGATACTTTTTTTTCAGAGCAGGTGAAGGGTGTGTGTCGAACTAAAGTGTTGAGTAGTGAGAAGAGAGAAGGAGATGGAGCATGCCCAGCTGTTGACCACAAGGATCCTTCTGCTGACATTGAGACCGCAGCAGAGCTTCCCCTGGCTGGCATTGACAGCATCTCAGGAAAACTCAGCTGTCATTTTCTAAAATGTTACTCCAACAGCAGCGCAAGCCATATATGACGTTGGCGCACACGATGTGAGTGGCTCTATGATGACAGAAAGGACGTCTATCGCTAAACAGATACAGATGTGTTGTAGCTGGTCTTCAGCTGTCATGTCTTGGTCTTTATTGTCTCTCGATGGCAGGGTGGGGGCTTCCTCTGGGGCAGCAGTTCACATGAATGACAGAAAAGGGAAACAACAGATGCACAAGAGACACACATGCGTGCCACATTTCTGCTTTGGAGAAGATGCTGCTTCATGTGGCTTAAACTGAGAACAAAAGAGCAATCAGTGTGGATTAAAATTTCAGGTCCAAACCTTTTCAAACAGCAACTTCTAAAGAGTCTTCAAATAACTCAACATTAAACAAAAAAATACATTTCAAACAATATTTTATTTCAAAAGTACACAAACAGGAACAATATCCTTTTATAAGGCAAAGCTTAATTATTACAACCACTCACATCAGAGAATCTTTGAGTCACAGTTTATGGGTATCACTTGCAAACTATAAATAATCTTTTTTCTCTTTTCATATAGATATTGTAACAGATTTTTTTTCATTGTGAAAAAAAGATAATTAGACAAACATCATATAACAATCCCAGCCACATGTAACATGTTTAGAATATTATTATTATTTTTTTTAATCTTCAGAATCCAAAAAGTCCATGGAAAGTCCGAACAGGCTAGGGGAAAGTGCATCCATCTCTGTCCATGTAGGTGTTTCGTGGCTGAAATGACCAATTCCAAACCCAGCTACAGACCCCAGTCCGTCGCTACAACCTGAAAGGACTGAACAGTTTGGTACAACTGTCAGCGGCTGTACCCCTAGATTATTTTTTGTTTTAACTTTTTCTAACATGAGCCTTTATCCCTCGTGCAACACGATTATTGGAAGTCAAAAGTGCAGATGGCGCTGCAAATTAAACTGACTAAAACAGAAAAAGGCAACATTAATCATGACAATTCCCATCCATCCAGAAATGCGGAGCACCCTTCATCAAATGCTACACTTTAAATGAAAAATCTTTCAGGGCTTTTTTCTAAGGTAGATCTTTCACCACTGAACTTGTTCTTGCCCTGGTTTCTCAAACAACTGGTGGTGTTTGAGAACAGAAAAAAGAAAAATCAACTGATAATTACTATGAAGAAAATCCTAATCCTGGTTTGGTAAGAGCCAGAGAGTCAAAAAGCACATTCAATTTTATATGTGGACTAATTTTCTCCCACTACCTTCCCATGTAGCTCATATTTCCAAATGGTTGTAGTTATCTTAGCAGGTTTAATATTATCCTTTGAACAGTCCTTTCAATTATTGCATGACCCTGACAGGTGATACCTTCTGGGCTGGGGATCATATTGGTGATGGGTTTGAATCGGGCACAGTTTCATACAGGACAGAAATGTTGTTTTCTGTGGCTTCATTGCAATTCCTCATAACATCGAGCCAAGCCAAATCAGGTCAAGCTGTGGATGGTGAGTCAGGACCAGCTTTGGTCACCTAAGGAACAATGCCACGAGCGTAAAAAGCAGCGTGGCACTAAGCGATGTGGTGAGACTGCCAGCTCCTCCACACTCCATTGAATTCTCCTACAGTTACAGGAAGAACATATGAGAAGAAAATCCAGTGAAGTGTGCAGTTGAAGAATTTGTGAGTTGCAAATACCTCTGGATGAAAAGGGTGACAGGTGTCTGGACGCCTCCTGTCTTTTTGCATCTTCAGTCTCTCACACTTGAGCGATTCGTTATGTGCAATTGAAGTTAAGGTAAAAAATACATATAAAAAATAAAAATGAAAGCGTGCGCTATCTTCACTGCTGTGTGTTTTCCTCACAACAAATTCCACTGTATTTCATTTGGCCTTTATGTGATAGAATACAACAAAGTGCTGCATTGTAAAACAGTAAAAAAAATAAATGTAAAGATCAGAAAAGTGCACTTTGCATTTGTTTATGCCCCCTCTACACATAAATAAATGTATGACCTTTAAAAAACAACTAATAAGTAAAAAGAAACATGTGATATGTTTAGCCGGAAGTATCAGTAGGAAGGACAGACATTAGTTATGAATTCCACAAATCTGAACTTCATTTAAGCATGGAAAAATAACTGGAGAAAGAAAGCCATGCAAAGTGAACACACCAAACTGCATGAGGTGGCAGAGTCATGGTGTAGGGTTGCTTTCAAAGATGGATGGAGATTTATATTGGGCCAACCTGGAAGAAAACTAGTTAGATGCTGAAAAAGACATAAGATGGGGGAAATGCTCAAATGAAACAGTTTTGATTAAAGCATAATAATCCAGGATTAGAATAATCCAGTGAAAATAATTGAGGAGAGTGAATATAAGTGCATTATGTAGTTTTCAAATTTTATTTCCAAGCCTCCCATTTTTCCCTCTAAACAAAGAAAACACGATTTTCTTCTACTTCACAACCACTTTGTGCTGGACATCCTAAAATACTACTGTATGAATTCTCATCTGGCAAGGCACCATTTCTTTTATTTATGAAAATGTATGCATGTGTCTGGCTGCATCAAGCAATTAGCTGCATAGATGCATTTAAGGACAATAATATTTTTGCACTAAACAAAAAACTCATGTCAGAAAAAATGAACCTCCAGTGTATAATATTTTTTTTTTTTGTGGCAAAGCACCAGAATAGCACACGTTATGCTGCAGTGAGTGCTTCACAAAAAATAAACACTGGAGGACATGTTTATAGCCGATTACATTTCAAAGAAATGTGCACTGATTAAAAAGAAAGCACTTCTTGTGGTTAGAAACAAAAGTGTTTCTGTAGAACTTTTCTGTATCAGTAACTGTATCAGCAATTGATCAAAGTGTTTACCAAGATTTAATGAACACTGACTCACAAAGCATTTTAAGGACATTCTCATAGATTGATGGACTGTGTTGCTTTGCTTTAAATTTTGTCTACAAAGATAATCTTTTATCTTCAATCAATTCAGGAAAGCAAGACTACTCTAAATTTTCTGTCTGTGTTTAGATCATTATAAACAATCTTTATGTCATTAACACAGGTATAAGCCGGCTGATATGCATCCCAGAAACAGGTGATTCATAATGATGACCACATGGATGCCTATCAAGCTTGCTTGAACGACTTTTAGTTATTTAGAAAATAAACAAACTTAGTCCTCCTCTTTCACCTTAATGTTTGCTAGTGGCATTATAACCACAGACATTCCCTGCTTTTCAAAATGAAACACTTATTCTATTTATCTGAAGTTCAACATTCTGTTTAATTCACTTTAATTTCATAATGTATAATGTACCTATGGAGCATGTGTGTTGCGTAGACTAGACATCATTTAGATTTTAAGAAATTCTTTGTCTTAGAGTAGAGAGAACAATGGTCTTCAAACTAAATATAGCATAGTCTATTGTAAAAAAAAGAAAAAAGGAGAGGACAAATTGAGCACAGGGTCTGAGAAGTCTAATCTAAATTCTTACGACACTTTAAGTTCTTCAAAAAAGCCTTTGTGGTTTTATACATTCTTGAAGTTAATCCTAACCCCAACAAGCGATAATGGATTTCTAACTTTGAATCTATTCTTGTAGAATATAAATATATTTACAGCACTGAAATGCAAAAGGTAGCCAGAGAGATTTTTATTTTTTTTTGACTTAGAAAACTGAGACTGAATATTGACTTTGGAAAAAAAAAAAAAAAAAAAAAAACTTCTGGAAATCCCTGCTAACCTCCCGCTGACCTCCAAAAACAAGTGAAGGATATACATAATTTCAAAAGGGTCCATGGTGATGGGTCCAAACTGGCTGCAGTCACACTTGTTGTCCACCACAACCATGAAAAGGTTACTGCTGGGGATCTGCTGAATCACAAATGACCTGCCAACAAAAGCAGAACGCCAGAAGGAAAACAATGAAAAAGGAAAAAATACATATAGGGAGAAAAAAATTGTGTGATAAACTCGTCGTCAAAATGATGAGTCAGAAAGTAACTTCCAGATTAGTAAAGTTGCTCATGTTTGAATTCTACTCTAATGTGTACACTGTATAAGAAAGACCCCACATAACAAAGGACAAGGACATAAAATACTCTATTAAGAGCTCTGAATAAACTTGGAGACCCACACCTTCTTGGATGGACATGGCCAGACTAGACACACATACTAACTCTTTGCAACGTCTAGTCCAAGGTGAGCATCAATGAAGTGTTGCTGACTGTAACACACTCCATCAAGAGGCAAATGTGAACCACACTTTGGAGCATATTTCTTCCCACGTCTGTGTTTTACTGGCCTGGGAGATCAGGCCTCCTGCTTAGTGATTTATTTCCATGGAAGAGCTTTATGATGAAGAGAGCTTGTAAAGATGATATTTTTTTCTTTATGTTACTCTGTCTTTTCTTTGGATCTCTTTCCTTCTCTGTCTCTTACTTCACCTTGGATAATTAAATATTTTATTTAATTATCAGATGTTAAAATAGTGTCCGAACAAATTCTTTCTGAAGATAAGGAGTCTAACTGATGACAGATTAAAACTGGCCCAATATCTGAAGCTGTATTTCCTTCCTCACTCATTTAATAGCATTTTTTTCCATTCAACCCTACTCCTGAAAGTCTCTAATTTTTTAGTGGTACTCGTCAGCTACATTTTATACACATATCTCACTGTGACCAACAATGTTTAACATAACTACTTCAGCAGATTGATCAATTCAGTTCCAAGCAGTTACTCAAAATCTGACAAAATGTCTAATACTACGTTTTCAAACGCTGTGCAGTGCCAGGCTCGTTGAGTTCTGACTACAGAAAAAAAAAACAGAACAAGCTTTCTGGAGAAATCATTGCTAAACATATGACACTGCACAGCTGCTAGACTTGAACATAAGCAGTGTTAGGAAAGTAAGTTCCGCATCCTGCATGAAAGCGCAGATAGCCCAAAGACTCAATGAAGAATGCCTCAAATCTGCACAGATACTCAGCAACAACCACCAAAGAAAACTCTTTTATTAAGACAGAAAAAACACAACTTTCATTTCTCTGACCTAATGAAAAGAGTTGCAATATGTTTTCTGAGAAGGATGAAAGGATGACATGGTTGCAGACACCATAAAAAAAACAGCACTCACATTGTGAATGGGAGATAAATGTTTGAAAATAAGTGCTGAAAATGTTCAAAGACTGACGGTCCATGCCTTCCTTTCAAGGCTTTCATAAAATATTAACTTACTTCGTGTCGACAGTTGGTGAAAAATAGCAGTATGTTTTTGCTTATGAGTTTGAATCCTGGACTATTTTATATTACAGGAAGTTGCATGAAAGTTGCACATTCCATGTAAAGGGACATTTTTCCCCATTACATGAAGAAGTCTTTGATAAAATTTGGTTGGAGTTCTTTTTGCTCGATTTAACAGATATTATAACTATAGCTGCATGTTGTGCATGGTTTAGATTTGAGTTTTAGATTCTTGATGATTGTAGGTGTTTACTCAGTTAAAGATGCATGAGGATTAAATAAAAGTTCAAAAAAGTGGTGAAAACAAATGAGTATTTAGTAGCTCTCATGTTTGAATGCTGCAATGTCCTTTTATTTAATTTTAATCATCATACACAAATAATCTTAAAATAGTTTATTCAGTTGATTTCTAACATATTAGGAGTGAAAAGATTTTAGGTTTAGGAAACCAAGCAGTCCTATGAGTGGCCTCACACATTGTAACAAACAATGTGTTTATAAACAGGGCTTATAACTGATAAGCCCTGTTTATCAGAAATATGAAAAACTAAAAGATACTGGCCAGATATTAGTAAAAATGAACAGCTGTAGACACTATTTTTACCTGCTTTGAGCCTTCTATAGACCTTGCACAAATGAAAATGGGGACTGTTCTTATGAATGCAGTTTGAAATAAAGATATGCTTGTATTTTAAGTCTTCAAGATAAAATCACCCTCTGGCTGGTAAAACAAACTATGCAATGAATCTATTAATTCTGGGAAGCTAGAAAAGCACCAAATCAAACATATACTACATTGCTTCATTTACATCCATTACCAATCCTCTATGGTTTGGTAATGGATTTACACAAAGAATGACACACATGCACACTGAGAATCTAAATACAGAAAGAGAAGTTTAGCAGGCAAGTGTTCGGGCTCCGTTTCCTAAAGCATAAAGCATACACGCATGTCTCAATAAAAAACATAACAGAAAGTCTCAGTGAGCCAAAACATAAAACAGATGTTTATCACAAGTACTTTTAGATACAAATACGATTTGTAAAACTTTATATGCATAAAATAAAGAAATGATTTCACATTGTCAGATTTTTTTTATATCAGATCAAGATAATTTCTATTTTCTAGTGTAAAAGTGCCCATCTCTTCATGGTGTCATCAGTGGATAAAAATAACTGTCATGTAAATCTGAACGGGTGTGAGAGAGCCTGAGTAGGTGCTGTTGTATGTGTGTTTTGCGTTATGACTGGCTCCCCAACCGCATTTTAGATATGGCACCAACGGCGGAGGTTACCCTGCCGACCTTGAGGGGCTCTACAGTCAGCAGACACACAAGGAAAACACACGCATGCACGCAAACACACGCACACAAACACAGATTTCCGAGCTCACTGGCAGTTCCACAGCTGGGAGCAATGAAGGGCCCATTGGAGGGATCCAGAGAACACCCCACAATTGCCTGACAGAAAATCCCAAATTGTTAATGGGGACCACACTCATTTTCCCATTTTTAAAAGGAAGCCTTTTTTTTTTTCAACCTCTCCCTCATCCCTAAATGCCTCGTATTTCAAACTGCTGGAGGACAGAGTTGGGGGTTTGTGTGTGTTGCTGATGGATTGGCTGGATAAACGTATTTTTCACAGATACAATGAAGTTAAAGTTTCTCTCATCCTGTTTGCTGTTTTATTTCAGTTACAATCTTTTATACCAAACAAATGTAAAAAGCATGTCACTGTGGAAAGTTGTTGGAAATTTTTTGCTTTTTTTACATTTCTGAGTGTTGCTTACTTGATGCAGCCATCACAGTCGATGTTGCCCATGTTCTCCTTGATTGTTCTTTCTGAGACAAAGGCAGGGTACTCTGTGTCACATGGCACCTGCATATGCGGACCTGCCCTTTGAGCTAAACCAAAGAGAAAATTAACAGTGAAAAGAGAGAAAATTAACAGTGAAAAGAGAGAAGAAATAATGAAAAATGAGAATGAAAGAAATGGCAAAGGTGGTCAAAATTGAAGGAAAAGTTAAACGACACTGACTTAAAAGACTTAAATTATACATGTAAAAAAAGCCATCAGGTTATTAAAAACATTGGAGGCAAATTGCTTAACACATCACATCCAGGCAAAAATGCAACCATTATAGAAAATAGTGCTTTTGAAGCAGAGCAACTCTTTTCTGCTTCAAAAAGCCAATTGGAGGTGTTTGTTCTCCCCAAACATTGCTTGAACACTACTGCCACCCAGAGGATTGAGCAATTTCTACAAGATGGTTGGCAATATCTTTCATTAGCAAAATAATTTATTGAACGCAAGAAAACAGCTCTAAAGCTCAGCTTAAGCACAGAGCGCTTCTCATCTTTATGACAGAGATTTCTAAAGATGGCGGATTATATGTGTGATTAGAATGGAGTGGTTTAATTACAGCGAGTCAGCAGCACAGCATTGATGCATGCGCGTATGTATGTGTGTATCGCATTAAAACCATATATGAGTATAAACGTCTGGGATTAGCTCAGCTTGAGTAGCTGTGTAGATTTGGTTACAGCCTTGCTAGGTTGTTGTGTTTCAACCCCGTGTCACAAGCCTTGGTGTCTTTGTTGTAAAAGGATACAGAAAGTGCTGCTAAGACCTGAGGCTAGCCAGCTGTGAAATTGTCTCGAATGCTTGGCGAGTGGTGATGACCAGCTTCACTTCATCCAGGATTAAAATGTGCAAGTAAAGCATTTTATGGAACTCTCATTTTGGAGTTCTTTCTCTGTCCCTCTCGCTTTCACAGAAATATTTTGTTGGTTTTGGCTCCAATTATTGTGACACTTTGATGCTGCTTAGTGCAAGTCTCATTCCAGACAGGGAAATGGTATTCAACACTCCATAAAGCAAGAAGAATTACAGCATTTACTACTTGTTGGTGAAAATATGAGAATGTGCATGTGTTCAAGGGAGAAAACGAGACATAAAAGTACAAGCAAAGACATAAACCAGAAAAGAAGAGAAATGCATACCTCTGCTTTCATAAAGCATATATCATTTCTCTCCAAAATCAATATTCAGCATGCATCTCATGAATCACACTGTAACTTTTTTGGTAGTTACATAATAAATTTTGGATTTGGGTTATTTCTTGCCACTGTTTTCATACTGACATTTTTTTAGGGAGTCTTATTATGGAAGCCTAAATGCAAACAAGGAAACGGTGAAGGTAATGATACAATGATGTCATTCAACCAATTCATTTTCCTTGAATTTTAACAGAGGTTTTATTTTACTACTTTATGGTAAGATGTAAACACTATTTATTTATATGGCAAATTCCACCGATAAAAATCGTGAAATGCTTCACAATAGATGAATAAAAGTGCACCCAAAAAATAACTTCATGTTACACAAACATAAAGAAAGCCATATAGATCAAGTGATAAATAAAAACTGGTCATAAAAAAATTTGTTTTTAAGAAATCAGCATTGTCTTGTAAAGACGAGGGAAGCAATTGAAAGTAGAATTTTTGTTTTGTTATGGATCTGCAAAACAGTTGCCTCTGCTTAGATGATTTAAAGGCCAAAATTGGAGGGCAAGACTAACTTCTTAGAGTTTTAAAGTATAAATCTCAAAATTAGAAAAAACTCTTAAAGTAGCAAGGAATTAATAAAGTGGAGTTTTTCAGTTTCCAGTTAGGATTCTTTCAGTAAAGTTTTGGATCATCCGAAGACAACCACGGGCTTTATTTGAATGTAAAACCTACAACAAATATAACCATGAAACTTTTAAATCCACATGAACCAGAAAAACCTCCAAAAGTACTGACAACAACAACAACAACAACAAAAAATATTAATTTGTTATTTTGATCAAAATAAATAAAATGTAAAATATTGACATTGTTTTTAATAATGCAATTATGTGTTTGTGTGCGGGTTGTTTAAAATGCAGCCATTCTTACCTTTGGCTGTGAGATCAGAGTTCCACCAACTGTATAAGTTGAATTCAACCAGGAATCTGAATGTGGAAATGACAGAGATTAACAATCTGAAATGAATGCACATGTAAGTTAAAAAAAAAAAAAAACTCCATTAATTTGCCACTTATTGCTTCAACATCCTTTTATGCAAGACTACAAAAAATCATGAATGCTTAATAAAGTAAAAGTGTTGTAGAATATTCTATTAGTTCAACCTGCAACAAATGCAGCAAGTCCTGGCATTCATTGTGGATTGGAAATCTCCTCTCGGAGCTGCCAGTTTTGCTTAATTTGAAGAAAGTCACATGTTTCTTGTAATACATCAAGCCATTTCAGAATTTATTTTGGTTCTTATTTAGAATAACTGAACTACAGATATGCAATATCCAATTTTAAGTTCATCTGATCGAAGTAACTAAACCCTTTAGTTACTTCACCGGTACCAGTTGGTGTTCTGCTGTCTACCATATCATACTGTGTGGCCACAATTTGTGCTGCTAACTATTAAAAAGAATCACAACCAACTTTGTTGTCTGTCACTTTTTTAAATAGTAGGATATGTTTCAATATTCTGCTACTTTAACACATCTCTGCTTTCCAAACAAAATAAAATGTTTTTCACCCTTTACGATGAATTGAAAATGTCTGTAGTCGCACAGCTGTTCTTTTAAGGGTAGAACAGGTAGAGCTATGTTCAGAGCTACGTGCTAAGCTAATAAAACAGGAGAGCAATCTTCTCTCTAAGTGTTGTCAAAATGTGATCAACTCGAATTGCTGTGACATTTGCTAAGATCTGAATAACCAGAGTCGTCTCAAAACTGAAGAGTTGAAAAACAGATCAAATGCAGTGTGTTATATTACACTTTAAAGCAACAGAGTCTTTTTAAGTCTAGTTGGCAATCGATTTAAAAAAAAAATTGGCTGGAAAAAATAGCAAAATTGGAAAAAAAAAGCAGAAAGTGCAGTGGATAGCAGATTTTTTTTCTCATTTATTTTAAATTTGTTCTAAATGTTAAGCATAATGAGTACTGAAAATTGTTCTACAAATTGACAAGGAATAAGAACAAATACCAAAAATCATTGCATATTCCACATAACTAATGGGTGATTTTTTTTATTTTTAACCTTACTTATTCTTAGGTTAAGCTATATGTTGTATAAATAGGAAACATCTCACATTTATCTCATTTCTCTAATTACTTCTATTGCTAAAACATAAAATGAGTACCGACAACTCTGTATTCCCATGATGCACTGTGGCAGTGACAGACCACCCAGCAGAACTAAACCACAACCACAATGTGGCATCACAGAAATACTCATGGTGCAGGAAACATCAGGTAGCTATTACTGGTTATGATCACAGAGGTTCACATCAACGTACATGTGGAGGCCTCCATAAACAAACACACAAGAGATATACAGTATACTCACAAACATACAGCTAATCTCAGAGCAGAGAGGCCTAAATACAAGTCTTCAGAAACCACATATATGCACAAAGCTTATAGCATTACTCCATAAACAGAAAAGAGGTATTCTCCAGTGAGGACTCTTACATGACAAGCTCAGTCAGGATCCACTTTACAGCTGCAAAGAAAGCGAAGTAAGGCTAGAAGAAAAAAAAAGGGGTGGGGATGATTGGACACTAGCAATAAATATTGTACTATATGGACATTACTACATGGGTAGAACACATAGAGGTTGGAGAGTACTCACATCCAGGAGTGTGTGCCCACTGTCGCTACTCTCGGAATGGACCCAACAAAGAGCCTGGTAGTCATACAGTGTGACACTATGGAGACAAATATAGAACAGACAACAGGATTCAAAATAGAATCAGGGAAAACATTTCCCATAGTTCTGTTGAGCCGTCAAGGAATCTTGATTCAGAATTTATCTGCAAATGCATGCCTGACGAACATTTCAGTCTGCTGTGTTGGGGATGGAAGAGAAGATCCCACCTCTGTAATAACTGTTTCACATACAAATATTATACATGATGGACGTAGAAAGAATGGAAGTAGCAAAGCAAGTGAAAGCTGAGCACCTCCTCAGATGTTTGTCAAAGTGATTTCTGAAAAGTCTGTGTGGATAATTTGTGGGATATTGGAGGGATATCTGAGGTTTTATGGGCTTAGTGAACCCTGAGGGGGTAAGATCTAGCTCCGTCTGGAGGAGGTTATTGCTAAGGTTACAAGCTTGTCTTTGAACAATGAACACTCTTTTTAATAGCCGTTGGGAGAGTTCTTACACATAATATACTAGTGTGTGAATGGCAGGCTGAACATGTGTGACAACAGAGTGGGGTTCAATATATCTGCCGCCCCAGGCGATGTTGAAACCTCAGTCGCAGTACTAATGACACACAGCCCCAACACGACGCCCAGAACCAATTAGTGATAAGTAAGACCACATGAATTGCTTCATAACTTACTTAAACTAATGTAAAATAGTATAGTGATTCTCAAAGTCTTGTCTGCCATTGATGATATGGTCAGGTACTTTTTAAGGTTAACAAATGTGTTTAGTTCTGAAGCACTAAATACCAATTGGTGGGGTCCTGTAATATTTGCCATTCATCACTGGCATACACTAAACAACATGATTTGTTTGAGAGGCAGGACAACAATTTGCATTATTAACAAGATAAGAAATGAAAGCCTACATTTTGTAGAGCTAAATTATCAACAGGTCACATCAAAACCGAGAGACCACAAGGTAACGTTAGCCTAGTAATGCAGCAAATATGGCAAATGGAGAAAAAATATTAAAATAAAAAAATAAAAATTAATGCACCCTGAACATCATTATTGGTGGTTCGTAAAATCACAATGATTCTACAGACCAGGTAGTACCAATAAAATGTGGTACATTTTACAAAAATGCTTTGATAAAACTGAGCGGTAAATTTTAGGAGTTTTTACAAAGAACTCAAAGTTATTCTTCAATGTAGCTATTGAGATTTAATAGATTAATTACATGATTAACTACTTGTTTAGGTTGAACAATGTGGTTACCCTATAAAACTTGGAATTCTTAAAATAAGTGGAAAAACATACTGAAGGGAAATCATTTCGTGAGGTAAAAACATACAAAATATTTATTCATTAGTAGTTGTTGCAGTCCTCTAATGCAGATATCTGATTTGAATTTGTGAACATATAATTTGACTTCTCCTGCTATAAATTATTGAACAATACTTGCTTTACTTAAACAATTGTTGAAGCAGTAACCTTCTTGTTTTAATAGGTCAAAAGCATTGATTTTGGCCTATGAATAAGTTCAAGCTGACAGTTTGTCAAGCTTTAGTAAGGAATTTGACATGTAAATGTCGCTTCAAACAAGACAAAAAAACTGACGGATATCATATTGGATTTATCAGTCTTTAGATCTAAACGCTCTGTTACTCATCATGCTAATATTTTCCCAAAACAAGTCATGTTACTCCTTCAACATATGTCTTCCTCAATCTTCAAAAATCCATCTTCAACCAATCGTAAGGATTCTGAGAAAACACTTGTGGAGCCTTGTTTTTATAGATGGGTCTGTAAACTATTAGCTGTCTGATGTGAAGGGTTCATTTTTCTAAACTATGGGCTGGGTTTTGCAATTATGCAATGATTTCTTACACAGAGAAATTCCCCCTCACCCACGTCCCATACATATAAAGGAATGGAGGGTACTGCCCTGCAGCAGACTTGGGAACGTGGTTGCAAGCTTCAGTGAAATACTAATTTACGCAAAGCTTTGTAACTAGGCAAAGACTTCACAAATTTCAAATAATTCCACAACTGATTTATATTACAACTAAAGTTTGTGTGTTTTTGGCTTGTGGGCATTTCTGCTGTGGAACAGCAGGGAAGGTGTCCTGGAGCTAAATCTGAATATACAGGTTCCAGAGATAGAGGTTCTTGACAAGAATAATATGTTTGTCCACATGCTATTTGTTTGTGAGGATGTGTATGCACTGAACGTTCTCTTAATTCTTTTGTCTCAGGGAATTAAGATTTGCTTTGGCACGTTTAGAGATGTCCGCACGAAAAGAGACATGCCCTCATTCTGTAACCTGCCTTTTGATTTTTTTTTGCACGTTTATACAAATATACACTCACACTTATGCATGTACTTGGGCTTGAACCTCCAAGTGATCACACATATACACACACAGACACATGCATGCACACATGGATTACCGTTTAAAAGAGCCCATCTGCAGCAACTTATTCATTACAGCTCCTTCTGCTTCACCAAAAAAATTTCCAGTCTGAAAAAGAAAGGACAAAAGGTTCTTTAATGAAAAGAGTATTGTCCATCTGCAACAGTTTTAATAAAAAAAATAACTTTATAGGAATTATATCACATGCATTGTTTATTATACTCCAGAATTTGAAAGTGCAGATTTTGGACCATTTATGGAAAAAAAAAAAAAATTCAGTAGCACCTATGCTACCTGAAGTACAAGCTGATGAATTCATCTTTTGATGTCCTGATTGACTACTTTTGGTACAACAGATCATTTTTGGGACATTATCTGCTCTCTTCAATGACTTCTGATGCTTTCACAAACTGCTGTGGATTTGTGACCTATTGATCCTGATAGATGAATGTTTCTACATTAATTTGTAGCTGTGAAGTTGAATGTGCATGAAAAAAATACATTTGAACACTATTATGCTATAGGACCATATTCATATTATGCAAATATGTAATATATTACACACACATAATAATCATGTCATATAAATGTGATAATTATATTCCATAAACATAATAATTATATTGTGTAAACATGATCATTTAAACTGGATGATGGCAATATTATGCTTACAGTGCATGCATATTAATACAGTAGTTGATCAAGTTTTATTCCACGGTTGGTTGGAGGCATGTAGAGATGCTGATGCTGCTGTGCAACATGGATGAAGTCATGATTAGTATGTACACTCTGAGAATGATCCTAAACAGTTCGATTCTCCTCTCGAACGTTCCTCATTGACCATCCAATAAATCTTCATAACATTTAAAGTTTTACCACTTTAAATGTTTTACCACTTTACCACTTTGTTACTCAGAGTACAATAAAATATCTGTTTTTTCTCCCCATTTGTGTAGAACAAAGATAAATGAGGCAGCTCATGCAGCACATTTATTTAAATCCTAATTTCATGTGGCGTGTAGATTCCCGCAATGTGGTTTCTGTAGGAATCGAAACAACGAGCAGTTCATGTTTTTAGCCAGGCATTCCTCACCACATGTATCCCAAATTAACTTGATATGCCAGCTTCTTCCTTCTGTTGAATTTCATTGTCAATGCAACCTAAAAGCATACTACTGCCAACATCTGGAGGAAATAATCACATAAAGTCAAAAAAAGATCATATTTACACTATGTATTGTTACATTTATACAAGATAATTATGTATGTAAAATATATTTCAATGTTTGTTCACAATAATTACCATAACATGTTCAAAAACGTTTTTTTTTTTTTTCCATGACAGCAATATGATTCTGTTCAAACAAAATTATTTTATTTATTATGATTTTTTTCTTAACAAACAATCACTAATAGGGTTCTATTACAATGGAACCAACCTACAAACTACTTTTTTATGATTAGTTTTTTTAAAATTGAGTATTAGCCCTTTAAATTTTGGACACAGTTAAAATATCATGGTTTGTTCATCTGTTTGGAGGAAAAATAATTAAAAATAAATGTCAGGTGCATGTGTTAAATGAACGCTTTGCTAAAGCAGAATTTGACTCAATTTCAGTATTCAATTTAACTCACATTTGTTAAGACTGGGTTTCTACCTGCACTGCAGTCAACATTCCTCTTGAAGTGACATGCAAAGATTCCTCAGCGATATCATCGGCATCAATTTTATATGCAATTTATGTTAAAAATTGTATTTCTACTTGATTTCTTTTGGCTACAGCAATCACAAAAATGTTGCAATGTCCTGGAGGGACTGACCTTTCTTTAAATGGCCTCTTGACCAGATCATGTACATAAATAAGACTGTTTTTTTTCTCAAACATTTTACCTGACAAAAAACAAAACAAAACAAAACAAAACAAAAAAAACAGATTAAAAAAAAACTTTTCCGAAATGGAAAAGGCAAGATAATACGCTAGTTAATTTGAACTGATGTGTTTTAATAATCTAAATAAGATTATGCCAACATAACAAAATGTGTACATTGAGAGCAATTAACATTACAACAGCTTAAAAAGTTTAAAGCGCCTTGAACCAAGAAACTTGCTACCACACATTCAAAATATATCAGGACTAAACAGTAGATAATAACCTTTAATAAATTATGATTAAATTAAAAAGATAAGAAAAGATTAAGCATATGAACACAAAGGCGGATGCAGAAAAAGAACATGCAGGAGAAGAGAAGGGCAATGACAGCCAGCGGACTTGCTTTGGATGAGCCAGAGTCAGAATGACAGCATGTCTGGTGACAGCTAAGCAGAAGGTACATGCTCAAACAGCACTTTGAGAGCGAGCGCAGTCTGTGCAAGAGAATCAAAAACAAGATGCTTGCTTCTATGTCTCACCAGTGTATAGTCTTCTGCTACAAGAATGAAGCCATTGTTGTCAATGAGGTAGCAGTTAATATGCTGTCAATTAGAAAATATAGTTTAGGGCAGAGTCATCGAACAAAAGATCATGGACTGAGAAGAGAAAAATGTCTTACCTCATCATCACAGCTTATGGAGCATTTCCCATCTAATGCTGCACACTGATTTTTAAAAAAAATTTTTTTTAAAAAGACAAACAAAAAAATATTTATTCATTTAAGGTGAGAAAATTACTATGGTAAAAATGTGTGAATGAATGATGATTGTCATCCGTTAAAAATGCAACAAGAAATTTAAATGTAACTGACTTGCAAGCTGTCATATGTTGTAAGTATGACTTATTAGACAAACAGTTCTAATAAACACACAGGTATGCTTGTTTTGCATATAAAACCAAATAAGGTAAAACAGGAATAGTGCTGAATACTGCAGTTTGACTCTTAAAAGAAAGTATCTCAGTCTGATTCACACATCTGAATTCAAGCAAACCAGCAGAGGGTGCTCATCCAGTTACATAAAAATAAAGAGTTCTTGCAAAAGGACAGAGTAGATGGAAACATTTTTTTAAATAAATGCTCCTGCTTTTCTGTATTTAATTTCTGTGGTAGTTGTAACCTAATCTTCTAAAGCAGGGTACTACTTGCATTTACTGCCATATCTTAGTGCAGCATCAAAGGCTGTGTTTTGTAATTTTGATTATGGGAGAAACCAATAAGCTGTCAGAGTTTTAGCTTGAAATGAAATAGGCCAGCATGCTCTCTGGAAAACAGCTATCCGCTGAAATAAGAACTTTTGAAAAATTACTCATCCCTCAACATTTTATATTGAAGCAATGGACACAATGTTTCAGATTTTTTTAGGTCACGTCACTTCAGGATCAGACAGTTATTTACATTATCAGTACTGTTTTAAGGTGAGGAACATTTATCAATGACTCCACGTAGCGATGAATCCATTGCATTAATATTGTAGTTGAAGTGATTTTTGAGAATTAAGCCAACTGATGGACAGATGAGAGGACAGACAGTCAGCCAGAATTGAATATTGATATAATATTAAAAAGAGGTGATCATAGAAAAGAAAAGACAAGAAATTTGGAAAAGATTATGATTTAGAATGGTATGTTAAATATCAATTAGAAAACAAGAACCTGTTAGTTTTTATTCTTAGATTTGAAAATGTGTTTTTACTTCAATCATCGGATGAGCATCCTGTCACTAGGTACCTGTCTGCTGGCTGTCCAAAATTTTCTCTGGAAAAACTCCAACTTCATCTGGATGCCAACAGCTGAAAGAGATGCAAAACAATAATAAAAGTTATAATCACTAGAAGCATTAAGAACATATTGCAAATGCAATATAACAGGTAAACAAAAAAAAAAAAAAAAAACTTTACTGTACAAACACTTGCTTCCTAACTTGGACCAAATGGACTGCATGTTAGCACATTTTTCTGGATTTGGTCAAATTGTTTTGCATAATACAGTTACCCTACAAATGCTTAAAAACAAAAATATTACATACTCTTTAGCCTGCTTCACCATTGTGATCTGGCTTGTTCTTCATATGGAATAGATACCTATACTTTGATTCCATAAAGTTTGACATCAGATCCCTGAACTTTCCGCTAACAAGCTGAGCAGAAAGTTCTTCATGAGGGTAGTTATTATTATTGTTAGTGATAGTTATTTGTTGTGAAATATGACAAATTGTTCAGATTTTGCTGAAAATGAAGAGATGCATTCGCAACAGGCAGAATCTATTACCTTGTCTGACAAAGACTTATCTCAATAGCAGATTTGATAGAAGAAATGGAAAATCCTAAAATAAAAAACAGGATTTAAAATGCAGTCAATCAGAAAGATATGAAACTACATATCTGCGATGGCAGATTAAAACAAAATTTGAATCAGTATCGTCTCGCTTGATGATGTGTTGGCTATATGATGCCAACATTAAAATTTTGAGAAACTTTAAAGATAATTTGGAGATAAATTATTTTCCCCTTCTGTAAGCAGGAACGATCAAGCTTTTATTTTGGTAAAACTGCTGCAGAAACAGCAATTGCCACACTCTCTACTCAGAGATGAAAAATAAAAAAGAAAGCTAAGCAGATTAAAATAGATTGTTGCATTCACATCGTTTTGTCATCAATAAAACGCAACAGTAATTTATTCTGTCCTATTTGAGTGGTCAGCATGAATAGAATAATACCATTTGTGAAAATGACAGCAAGGTACTTGAAGTACTTTCCTTAAGGCAAAGACTGAATTGCAACCAGAGTTTTTCCTCTATTTATTCCAATTAGCTGAGTTTAAAAAAACCTTACAATATTTATTACTGATTCTAACACAACCAGAGGTCTTCTACAAAAAGAGCTTGACTGAATGCTGAACTCCCACCCAAATGCCAAACTCATGTCGCAACTTCTTAATGCTGTCGGTGCCAAATTTTAGAATTTGGCACCGACAGCATTCAATACTTTATGCATTCGGACAAGCAAATAGAGTTCCAGCCCCTGGCAGACATGCTTTAAAAACCACGACTGAAATTCAGATCTAGATGAAACCTGAAGGAGACTTGTACTTACATCAGAGAGGTAAATCCCTCCATGCCACTAGAACAGCTTGTTATGTATGATATTTAAGGTTAAATAATCTTTAGGCGAAACAGCCGACAGATCTATTTGCATTCTTCAGGCTGATCATTTTCACAATAAAAAACAAGCTAAAAATATATTTTCACTTCCCAGTGTACTGATAGCGTAATTGTGCAAATGTTTTCCTGTGGTGTGGTGCTACTGTGACCCATTTTAGCTCTTGCCCATAGGAACAGGTGCAGATTATCCCATCCTAAGCTTTGCCAGATCCTTTGGGCAGCCCACCATCTCTACACCCACATGAAAAACCCGGGAGGAAATGCTAATTTAAGATGCTGGGCAACAGGAATGGAAACAGGAGAGATGGAAAAAGGTAGAGCATGGATAATAAGGACCATTACAGACTCAAAGACGTCAGATAGGAAAACAGTGAATTCTTGCAATCTATTCCACGTGGCATTTCAAGTGAAGAGACAGTACATTCATTAAGGAAATATATTAATAGTGGGAGCACAAATCTACAACAGCTGCTTCAGGGCTTCATTCTGTGCAATGGCAGTAATTACACTGATTTTAGAATGCACAGGAGTGACAATTCAAGACAAAAGCTCAAATCCAATCCACTAAGACAGAAATTACTTTTGTTCCATGTATGAACATTTAATTTCCCTATGTATGATTGATTTAAGAACTTGAAAGTATTTATGCACTGAGCTGGGTTTATGAGCATAAAGATGAAGAGAGAAAATCCATTCTAAATCCATCCCATCACCAATCTCCAATCAGTTCTGTCCCAAGCAGGGGGGATGACAACTGGTTTACAGCCTACTGATTTAGGATTCTAGTAAGGATAGAATAAATGTACTCCAGTACCGTATAAAGGTTTTCAAGCCCTGACTCAGTATTTTGAATCGCAGGCTATGGTTTTTGCATGTTTGCATGTTCTCCCTATGCAAACATAAGGTCCGTCTGGGTACTTTGGTTTTCTCTCACAGTTCAAAAGGAGAACTTTACATGTTGCAGAATATAGACAAAGAAATCGCACACATTTGTAATGGAAATGCAGCCACTGCTGTCAGTTACCCGCTGCTGGATTCCACTGTGGTGATTTCATTAAACCTAATGCCATCTAACTTCTGCCTGACTGTCTCCTGCACTCACCATAACAGCAGTAGATTAAAACACAACATGAAAGAGATTTCTTTTTTTTGTAGGAAAATTTCAGAAAAGAGCAACTAAATACATTAACATGTGACTTTTTAACATATCTAATACAACATCACAAATTTGAAGATTTACTTTCACGCATAGGTAGGTTCAATAATGTTTCAAACATGGGTGTGAATGCGAGCATCTGTGTGCATTTTACACATTTTAAAATACATTGTTCAAAACTAATATGTCCACTTGTATTAAATTTGTAAGTTATTTTTACAGATGGAAAAAAGCAAATAGACCCAGAATAAGCAGCAGAACAGAATAGGATGTTGTCAAGCAGAAGAGCAAATACCCAGAAACCAGAGTGAACTAGCAAGCATCAGAACAGCTTAATATCAACAAGGATCTGCACAGCAACATGAGTCTAACAGTCAATCTTTTAATGAGCAATAAAAGAAAAAAAATAAATAAATCAAGCAATTTCATTGCAGCTTCCCGATGTTGAACTGTATATGTGCACCAACATGTGCATTTGTGCAAGCTGCGTTGCTGTGCTGAGGGCGTGTTCTGCCAGCCCCTCTGCCCACGGCTTATGCATAATATTATCAAAGCGTGCCACAGCAATAGGCATTGTGTATTTAAGTGCATGAGTATTTTTATTTCCGCGCTGCATTCTCGATCTAATTTTGTCTTGTTCAGTTATTGCCAGAGTAACAGGAGGTGCAACATGGATGTTGGTGAATGTGTTTGTGCTATGATTTAGGAGGCACAGCTGTCCAGAGGGAGATGACACACCATCATATACACCAATCCAACTGGGGATAGTGGAGGAGGGGTGAGGGGTGAACAGTGAGCAAAACAGAGAGAAAGACAGACAAGGCCAAGTTCTGATTTGGTGTCAATAGAACAACAAATTCAGTCATGAGAAGTGGCAATGTACTAAGAACAGAAAACACTATGAAAAAAAATATTCAGGAAGGCATATGAGGATTTGGGAGATAGTAAGAGAGCAACAAAAGGAGAGATAGAGAGCAAGAGAGATAGACAAGAAGGGAGAGACGGAGAGAGAGGAAGAGCTCCGAACTCGAGTGATTTCCAGACTGGCTGGGAGTGAGCTAGCGCTCTGATCTGCCTGCTCTGATGGGGTTTCATGCCCTCACAGGCACTGCTGGGAAACCTGAGGGCAAGGCTGGTTTCTGACGCTTTGTTTTTGCTCTCCAATTCCCACCTATTGACCAGACAAACCGAATGAGAGCTGGGACCAGACGATCTCAACCTCAATGACGACAAATGGATCCTACACCAGTGAGGCTCACCGCAATACCAAAAGGGAGCTAAAAGAACCCTGAACACAACACGGCCCAAAAACTGGCAGAAATGAGAGGTAGGATTTTCATTGCTGGTGTTTTGTGAGTGTAATTTCTGCGTGGGTATGCAAGGGTTATTAGGCATTAATTAGGATTTGCAATTTAAATTAAATATTCTAATAACATTTCTACATTAATTGCTGGATATCAGGTCAGCGTTGATTCTTTTGACAAGTTGCAATTAGTGTGATATTGACAGCTGAGGTTATTCACGGTTGCAACTGTTATGGGTAATGTGGACATGTCATTACAAACTTGTTGTTATAGGGTTTATCATGAAGGGACACAACAGCAAAAAGCCAGTCCTTTGTATTGACCTCATTACATAACTCCTGTTATAATGCCCATCTTGGCTCCTGCCATGTTTATATGTACACTCGAGAGTTTGTTTCTCAACCAATGCACAAATAAAAAGCTCATGAAATACATTTTTTATGTACATGCTATGAGGGCCAAATGACCTAAATAACCTAAAGGATTCCAAGTTGTCCTTTAGGTTGATTGGGAACCTAGTTGACTTCTTGTGGTGACAGGAAATATGTCAAAAAAAAGTACAGGTACTTGTTTTGTAACATATTTCTTCAAGTTCAAAGAAGAGTTGTGGTTTCAATAGCCCCAAGTACTTTAAAGAGCAGACCATGAAGTAAATAGGTGTCATTTAATCCATTCATTCCCAAACTTGGGGTCACGACCTCAAGAGGGCATGTAGATCATTTCTGTAGGCTGCTGAATGGTTGTAGAGATGAATAAAAATTCATGCCACAATGAAATAACTTTTTTTGACACTGAGGAGAGGTTTATATGTTATAGAGCTTGTCCAAGTGATTTTATATGTGAGTTTAAAAGCATGATAGCTGATAACCCACACAAATGGAAAAATAGAGACACAAACAAAGCAAACTTTGCCACCTACCAGAAGTCCTGACCACAGATTATTTCAACTGAGTACACAGTTTTGAGGGGTCAGTAAAGGACCGCTGGATTACAAATGAAATAGGTGTGAGAAAGCGAATGTGTTTCATAATGTGAGAGTAGAAAAAGTATTGACTTCTGAATAGCTTTAGAGTGGTTTCATAAGAACGGACAAGTCAAAGGCAATTCTGCTGGCCTATACAGAAAAAAGGCCTATACAGACAAATTTGAGAAAAACACCATGAATTCCCACTTATAAAACATTTATTTGAATAGTAGGAGGAAACATTTATTGAAAATGATAATGGTAATTTCATAAATAATAATAAATATGGCACAGTTCTTCCACCTATGCAACATCTATGATACAACTTATGAGCAAGCTACACTCATAGACTTGGGTTGGAGCTTCATTTCATTGAGCCTCCAGCTAGTCAAGCCAATGCTATAAATAATGCTGTTATGTTCCAGAAGGAATGGACATGTGAAGTTATCTCAAAGGGAATGTGCTGCGTATAGATTTGTGTGTGGGTGAGGGGTTACAGAGCTTTGATGAAGTTTCCAAGGGTCACTGTATAAGGGGGCGGGAGGGGAGATGCTATTGCAAAACTAATGCAAACTGGTGGTATGCATTAGTTATAAGTTTAAATTAAAAACAAAATCTTCTGGATAAAAGCAAAGTAAAATAGGAATAAAATAAATATGGACATAGGAATCTTTGAAGCTATGGAGTTAATTATGCGTGCCATTACGTGCGAGCAATTAAATCGAAACTATAACTTCAAATTAAATAAATGTAGTATGCACTCATGTGGTGTTGTAATGTCTTGTTCCTGTGTCTCCACAGTGATTTTGGTGTGTGCATTCCTCTCCTCCCTGCCTTTGTCACATGCCTGTCCAAAGGAGTGCAGCTGCAACAGCAACACTAAAGTGGTGGACTGTCGGGGTCGAGGCCTCTATGACATCCCTCGGAGACTACATTCAGACACACAGGAACTGTATCTTCAAGATAACCATATCAGGGGACTAGGATCAATGGCTTTCAGAGAAATACCTCTTGTCCGCATTCTCGATCTGTCTAATAACTCTATAACATCTATTTCACCAACTGCTCTGCTTGGTCTGAGGACTCTGCAGCGCCTCAGCTTGGCATACAACAGCATCAGAGAACTTGACAAACGGCTGCTTGGACCTATTCGCTCACTTTCCCATTTTGACCTCTCACACAACAGGTTAAGTATAGATTCTTGAAACTGTCACACCATCAGGAGCAGCATTGGAAAACTGAATAATAAACAGAAAAAGCAATCACAATAACTGCTTTTTCTAGTTAACTTAAATTGTATTTAGGTTATTTAGCTTACATTTTATTGTGTTTCTTTTTTTTAGTAAAAAAAACTACAATCCTACACAATTCACACCGAGGGACTACGGGAAATAATTACACATTTCTTCAAGAGGAATTTCAAATTCATTGAGAATAACTGAGATTCAAGAGTGAAATTAATCTTTTAAAGCCTTTTTCAAACATGTAAGGAAAAAGGAACAAAGGTCTTTCAATATTTTTGAACATGATTTGAAATACAAGCCTTTGCAATAAAAATGACCATCCCCACTTGATTACACACTTGATACATAATAAAAAGCTGCACAAAGTGCAACAGTTAGCCAGATAGCTTGCAAAGCTAAATGTGGCAAGAGATGTGCAGTAGAGTCTTTTCAATAGAGAAAAAAATATCAAAATAAACAATATTAACATTGTGAAAATAAAAAGCTCAGTATAGATCTAAGCTGTTTAATTAGTAGAAATATTTTTAAAGGGATTTTTTTTACCACTTACACAATTTGAGGTAACAGAAAAAGATAACAAGAGTCAACTTTGAGTTCAACATGAATTTCAGTTCATCAGAGATTCCCACAGAGATTCCTTTAATCTGATTCTCTTACTATGTCTCTTTTATTAGTCTGTGGGGTTTGCCAGGAGTCATGGGGGACAGTCTGAAAAACCTCAGCTACCTGGGTTTAGCAAACAACAGACTAACAAGATTGGATCGTTCGCTTTTGGATACCATGACACGCCTGGACAGCATAACGCTACGAAACAACCCTTGGAGGTGTGATTGCCAGCTTATTGGCCTCAAACTCTGGCTGGAGACCTACCTCTTTAAAGGTTAGATCATTAGGAACTTTATTCACACAGGAATCCAAATTAACAGGGACATATCTGCCACAGGTTCAATGTTCTTATATCATACGGTTCCCAAAATGAAATTGCTGTGAAATCAAGTCAAACACTTTAGTCCTCCCTACCAAATCATTTAGTTACTAATCCTCATATTGAATAGATTTAGAAAAAATCCACAGCAAATGTCTGAAAGGTAGTAAAAGAATAACTTTTATTAGCGACTCAGCTGCTGAGGGCATTTCCCCAGGTGGTTTGAACTCTAGACACTCAGGAGTATATTTTATTCTGGTCCATCTTTTTACACAAATATATTCCAGCAACGGTTAGGTAGAAACAATGGGCAAACATTGAGAAATACAAGTTTACTTACCTGAAAATATGAAAAATATTTATAATTTGGATATTAGTTATGTTCTTCAATTGTAGATAATGCTATTCTGCTTTGAATCTTACTGGGCTGCAGTGAAAAGCACAAACTAGAGATTTGTTTTTTACCCTTTATCCTTTTTTGTTATGTATAACATGCTAATAATACATTTACTAGCAAGTATTATGTAATGATACTTTAAAAAAAATATAATATTTACAGCTGAATGTTCCTTGTTTAGGTCCTTCATGCATGAAGGAGGATCTCCAGTAAATTCTCTGGTTTGTTAAGTCAGATAATGCGCATATCAGCAACCCGTATAATTTCCCATGCTAGACCAAACGCAGCAGGCATTGGATAACAAAATTACCACTCTGCAGTGAAGCCAAGGCATTCATGGAGTTAGATAGTCCGCCTACATGCCCATGATACTCTGACATAAATGTTTTCTTGCCAGATGAAAATTCTAATTAGTGCAAAACAACACAATGGACCCAGATTTAAGTAAGCATGCAGACACAAGGCTAGTGGATAATTAAGTTGACATAATTGGAAGTGTGTGCCAAAGGATACTGGATGTGAAAGAAGAAACTTGAGGCTAACTGATGAACTCTTGATTTAATTCCTTTCATGGAAGAACCAGTTTCTTTGGGTCTTGTGATCCAGAAGAGAGCTGTCTTTAGATTTCACATATTTAACATGTTATAGATGCTTCTTAACACAGAGGAAGGCGGTCTTTAACATAAATTCTACAATCATCATAAAAGGGAAATTGTGTGATATTTCCTGATTAGAAATGACTACTTAGCATGTTCTTTCACACTTTTCTCTTGATTTTCTTCACCTTTTTCTCCCTACTCTCAAGGTGGAGTTGTGGATGAAGTTCTCTGCACTCAACCAGAAGAAATGAAGGACAAAGACTTGCAAAAAATTCCTTATCAGCTGTTTCATGCCTGTATGACCACAAGCTACCATTACCTGTTTGCCAACATTCACCATCTAGAGTCTGAGAAGCTACTGAGAGGCCACGTCCATGGCAACCATGCCCATCCCTCCAGCCACTCTCTCCATGTCCCCATGGCAATAGGTGAGGGTTTTGGTGTTGGAGGTGGAGCAGGAGGAGGAGGAGGGGCAGGAGGCATGGCAGAGTGTGAAACTAAGCAGAAGCATCGCCCTGTCAACCTACGCCATGCCATTGCCACAGTGATCATCACAGGTGTAGTGTGTGGGATTGTGTGTCTGATGATGCTGGCTGCAGCAGTGTATGGATGTGCCTATGCGGCAATCATGGCCAAATATCAGCGCGAGTTGAAGAAGAATGAGGAGCTGGCTGCAGCACAGGGGGCTGATCATGCTACTGATGAAAAGGAACCGCTGGAAAATGCTATTGCCTAAGAGGTGATAAAGTTTTCCCTGGACTCTAAGCCTCTTCCCTTTAACCTAATTATCTTTTGATGCCATGTTTGGGTTTGTACATGAGTGTAAAGAGTGAGATTTTTTTATTTTTGCATAAATGTACCTAATATTTGAGACTTGGGTAGCTACATTTCACAGGTATTTGACTATGCACTGATAAGAAGAGTATCTTCCATTTTAAGATGATTTCAGAAGCTGAATTCAATATAAATTTTGTTTTATCGAAAAAAAAAAAAACAAGCATATCAACGACAGAAGAAATCAAATATATATTTATAAGTGTGTACTTTTAGGTATTTGTAATGTAAAACTTTGGTATTTGTAGAATGAATTATATATTTTGTCTGTTTTTTGTTATTGCTCATCATTTTGAATTTATTTTTGACTCATAGTGAACCATATTAGGCAGCTGTTGTCAGTCATGTCCTCATCTATTTGTATCAGTGATGTGCATTTAAAAAAAAGATGAGCCTGTGACTTAAGTTGTGCTTGAGAGTGTGTATGTGTGCGTCTTTGTACATGTGTTTACAGAAAGATGCATCAGATTACAGAAAATTTTAAGTGTCTGTGCCTAGCAATGCTGAAAAGGTTTTGTGAAGGAAATATATTTTTGAAAAGATATTTTCCTGTCAAAATGGGCAATTCATTGAAGCAATAACGAAACAAACTAAAATGAAAAGAACTTGGACTCAGCCTTTTTGTATGTATTTTATGGGTTCATAGATCAAAATAAAATAAAATAAAAAAACTGCTGAACAAATTATGTTTACACATGCAAATACAGTTTTTTTTCCAGTCTTGTTTGTAATATATGACTAGTTACACAATGTTAAACATTTCCTTCAGTATGTACTATATATAATAAAGGAAAACATCATTGCTAATTACTTTATGAACGCTGGCTATCAATTTTAAAAGGTCTGTGTCCATGAGAGTGAAAAGGAACAATAATAGACCGAGATTTTGTGCAAAGAAATTCAAGAAACTTCCAGCTAGTATTCATTATAGTCTGGCATGATGTTGCTATGGTACAATAACCTTGATTTCACAGTATGTAAATGAAAATTTATGTTGAAAGTTTTTTATATAATCTTTTGCAATTTGTAATTGACTATTCTTGTGGTTGTATTAACATTATCTACAACTTTGATTTATTGATATTTTAATGTTAAATACACAAGTAAAAATAAGAATAAACACTAAATATTCATTTTATAATAGGTAATTTCATTGTATAAAACACAATAAAGTTTCATTATTTTGCACTTTATGAAGTTACATTGGAAATAAAACTACCTGATATTTGCTGGTTGATTAGTCTGGCTCAGGCATTTAGCTTGTCAAAAAAGAAACAAAAACATCCCACAAATGTAGTTTCAAGGCAGAACTGTTAAAAGTTAGCTGAAATATTTGAAGAGAGGTTCTCTGATGTTATTGATGGTATTTGTTCTTTTACCTTTAGTAGAAATATAACGACAGGCAAACAAGCAAGTCAAACGTACATTATCTGTTTAAGCTCAGTTTAGCTGCTTAAAACAACTCACACTGAATAGTTAGTGAATTTTAGCAGTCTAATATTTCATAGTAATTGGTAGCATCCCATTAGTTCCCATGCTCTTTATAGCCAGAAACAATTTTAATTTTATACACTCTACATGGAAGTAATTTCAACATATAAGAATGACTATGGTATAATTTTTTATAAGTTTTAAAATATAATTGCTTAAAACATGGGTGTACCTTGACACTGGTAGGCCCATTCTACTTTTGTTGAAATGCCTGCTTTGCGTAATGTAAAAATATTCTAAATTATTTTTTAACTTCTCCCAAATATAACACAACATCCTTTTCAGTTTAACTGTACCAGACAAATCTATAGCATGCATTCTTATTCATTAAATTAGGTCATTATCATAGATCATTAATCTAACAAAAGAAACATGGTAGAAAATAATCTGTTAGATTTTCTTTACTTTCAATGTATCTCGTATGTTTTGTGCATTCTAACTTGTTCAGAGACAATTCATGTAATGAACAGCATTTTAATTCACTGTGTGTTTACTCTGTGTAATAGAACAGCACATTGAGGTACACAGATGCCATCGGTGTTCATGCCTGACCTGAGTCGTACGGTTCTGTGTATTTCACAGTAGCAGCTTCGCTGCACGTGGCCTGGGATGTGACCACAAACACTGACACACACACAAACCGACATGCTGGCGTAAACGAGTATGTACGTACACGCACGGCAACATTGTTACTCCAGTGATGTCTGCAGGGCCAGTGGCATGTGACGTCACTGGCCTGTCCTGTTAAGTTAGCGTGTTGGCGTATTCACAAGTCTGCAGCTCAGTGGAGCGCAGGGCAGTGAAAACTGGCCCTAACCGGCTTATGCTAAATTTGCATTCTAGCCTACATCTCGCCCCCTTTCTGATACTCTTATATAAAATCATCCTTATAGACATACACAGATAAGACAAGCGTGATCATCATTACTGAACATCAGCACCCACGACAACAATAGATTTCTCCTAAATCCTTCTGACTGATTAGTCATTTGTTTTGCTGCTCGGAAGGATTTGAGTAAATGCAATTATGCTGAATGAACAGGGATGAAATGAGCAGGGTCAAATTATTCTGTGGGCCGTTGCAAACCGTGGGCTGCTTGTGCATCACTCTGCTCAAACTCTAATGCATAGTCATGCACAAACACATACTGGGTGTGTATGTAGTGGCACTACACAGACTCTCCCATCGTTGTCCTTCTGCTCCAGTGGTTTCCCCCAGGCAAAGACTACCCACAATGCATTGCTTTCAAGTCAACGTAACCAGGCACCGAGAAATAATTTTCTCTTTCTTTGCCCTTCTATTTCTTCTCTTATTTTATCTTTGAATTTCATAAATATCATCCTCCTCTTTCATTCCATCATTGTGTCTTTCCACTTATGATACATTTCTGCAGTTCTACTTGACCTCAGATGTTAATAGTATATATAGATATCATTTGAAGATGCATTATGAATATAAGCCAACATTAATACTGCGTTCTGATACCTTCTCTATGGCTTGAGCAAAAGAAAGTATAACAAATTGAAATTTGTAAGTGATTGTAAGCTTCACATTTTCCAACTTGAATTTTTTTAAGCATAGGATTTGAACCTCTACATGCAATTGTGAAAGAAAATAATTTCGATGTAATCTAAATTATTAGAAATCTTCTAAATTATTTTGTGATCAGGACAACAAACTAAACATGGTGGAGGCGATGAAATGCAAACACCTTATTACTTATCATTAAAACTGCACATACCTTATTATTTACAATTACAATTTACCTAATTTAATACTTGAGATAGCAACATGCTGTGAATGTGGAGGCTCACCTGCAATCTACATTTACCTGCCTCACATTTAGATTTTTCTTGGATACAGAATTTCAAATGTGGTGAGCAACATTGTTTTTCTCTCTTTATAACTACTTTGCTACTCTCAAGACGTTTTGGAATAATATTTATGACAATCGCTGTGTCTTCGAAAAGCTTAGAAATATCACCGAGTTATAAAGCAACAACTTTATGCTGTTTTGTTATTGATATAGTGAATCTTCAGAAATTCCTTCTTTTTGTCTTTGGAGTTACTGAGTGACTCCAGTGCGATTTTTTGCTCTAAGTTTTTATTACTTATATGTGAGATTTTATAAAAGTGAACTACTATTGGTGCACTAAATGTATTTCAGAGAGGCTGTTTTTTTTTAGGGGGGGGGGTTAAGGTAATTATTTAGGTATATTCAGCTGAATAGTACAATTTCTTTGTTTTATCTTACATGTAATAAATGTAAAATAGGACAAGGAATGCACAAACCTGACAAATGGACATTCACAAAAATATCATTTTGGGTGTATGCATGGCATTTGAGACATATCTCAACCTTTTGTAGACTACAGAAAATTCAAATAAATCACTAAATGGCCCAAAAATGATATGTTGATACATATTTTGTGTGCTACTGTGCAGTGCACTACAACGGACGCAACTGAACACATGAAAACACATAGGAAGCCAGAACATGTGGGCTGCAAGTGTTTCAGAGGAAAATAAGCAGGGGGGAGGACAACTGTAGAGCAGGAATATAAAGCCCAGCAGTGTGAGGAAGAGAATACCGCAGTCTCTGTCAGTGTTGAAGAGTGTTTGTGTAAAAGAGACAGAGAGAAAGAAGCACTTGAATTTCCACTTACCAGCAGCTATGGGGGATTTCCTCTCATCCAGAAGCTGAATGGCAGTACTGGCCAATACAACACTCCTGTTTTCTGAACCTAAACCACATGCAAGAGGAACAGATCTCAGAACAGAAAAAGAGAAAACTGACTGACCAGACAGTGATTGGAGAGACATAAATTTAACATATATATATATATATATATATATATATATATATATATATATATATATATATATATATATATATATATATATATCAGACTGTCGTTGCTACAGCTACCACATTACTTGGAGGAAGGGTGCATCTAAGGAAAGTCAGGCAAGTAAATAAGAGGCTTTCAGATCACTTGTAATAGCTGGCACTAATGGAAAGCCTGAGGCTGAGAACATGCTCTTCCTTTGGCGGACGTAACATTTTTTTTATAGCAAAACTGTTAAACTGAATTTGCGTGAGATGTTTGCGTATTAGTGCATCCATTTATAAAACTGTGGATTCTGGGCTATTCTCTACGGAAAGAAGCGAGCCTCTCCCTAGCATATCTTATTTCAGCCATCAGCAATCAGCCTGGTCCAAATGCAAACAGAGCAGAATTAATAAAAGAGGAAAAGCAAACACAGATAAAAGCCAGAGAAAATAATGAAATTGGGATAAACATGTAAAAAAATAAATAAATAAAAATCACAGAGAAATGCCAAAGTTTGTGTTGTGTGATGAGTTGTTAAACACATAATGTGACCAAAACTAATTTAAATCTGGCTAGGGCAATATCTCCTTTAATAGTTTAATTTAAAAAAAATAAAAATAAATAAAATAAAAATCACACAAGAAACAAATGCACAGCTAACCTGAGTTGAAAGGGAGAGAATAAATAAAGGTGCCAGGAACTTGCTCTGCTGCTCTCTTGTACCATAGAGGAAAGTGGTCAGCATTAAACACCCCCTCTTTGTCTTCAGCTGTCAGGAAGTCTCTTGATGCAGACAATAAACATATGATGTCAGTAATTAATAAACAAACTAATTAGATTTGAAATCATAAAAGCAATCAATATAATGTCTTGATCAGAACTTTAAATAAAATGTTAATTTTGGGCTTTTAATGATGCATCTTAGTTGCACTATTTTTTCGGTGGAACAACAAACTTCAATTACTTTTAATGTTTTTGATGTTTTTCTTTTTTTTTCTTCTCTTTTTTACATACCTCATTCCTCTCCAAAGTTGTTTTTGAAGTATAATTCACTGTACTATTACAACAGTAGAATTATGTCTCATTTCAATCATCTGGATCAAAATGGGCCTTCTAAGATAAAATCAAAATAGTTACAATGTCGTTGGACACCCCATGTGAACCCAAGGACAATGTCTATCACTAACTGGAAGATTATGGAAAATGGGGAAAAAATATTTACTCGTGTAACTTCATCTCAAATTTGCAGCAATGTGGTTGAACTTTAGAAATGCATGTTGCATTTAGGTTGTCCAACTAAACAATGATCTTGAATGCAAGCTAAAGCCAGCTTGGAAATGGATAAGGTCTTGGAATGACTGCATTCTTATTGATACAAATCACTGAATGTATGTCAGATCTGTTTCAACTCCAAAAAAGAATGGTTCAAACGCAACATTAAAAGCCCAAAAGTAATCCCACATCTACACTCTTGCTGAGTGTCTGCAAAAATCTGACCACAACACATTTAAAGTACTCATATACAGATCACTTACAGGTTTGTGAGTTCGTCAGGCACCACAAATAGATTAATTCTGGACAGCCCTGTCCTTGTGCCAAGATAGGCAATCTCCACACCTTTATCTGAGTTTCTGTATATTGAGACAAGTTTAAAAAACTGAACTGCCTTTGTGGTCAGCTGTGTTATTAGCATCAGAAAAATAAGACAGGCGGTTTAATAGCACAAATATTTTCTGATAACAGTGAAGTCAGTGGAATGGGTGACTTACTCTGATTTATTGAGCACAAGACTGGTCCAGTAGGCTTCAAGTGGAGCGGTCACAACCGCATCAAAAAGTACTTCCTGGATAAGTTCCTTGTCACCTGACAGAACAAAGGCAAATAGAGCACAGTTTTACAAAAAAGGGGGTTATTTATTACAAGTAAATACTTATAACATAAGCTGATCCAGTTAAAGGAAAATCACTATTCTAGAAAAAAATTAACTTACAATGCAAGCGGGGTTCCTGCCCACTCAGATACATTTTTATTGCTTCTATTTGAGATAAGTAGCGATGCTTGGGGTGCTCGTCTGTGTTGCAGTATGTCCTGAAGCATAACAAGAGCAAGAGCGGAAAACGAAAAGGCAAAACAACAAACACAAGTTTTGTAGTTGTAACTGACTCAAGATCAGCTTCATTTTAAAATGACTGATATAATGATCTGTTGGTTGAGTATCTATTTGAAATTGTTTTCAAAGAGGTTTTTTTCGGTAGCTTTAGATAACAAATAATCTAAAGTCGTATATTAAAGAAACAAAAACATTTTGCTTTGCTTTCGATGTACAAGGATTAGTTTGAAAAACATCAACTGTAATCCCTTACGATGATCACAAATCACAAAAATAACCCCAGAATCCCCAAAAGTCCTAGAAATGCTAAAGCAACTGAGGCATTTTATTTTTTATATATACAATTTAAACAGAATAAGGACAGAAAATTATATTTGATTTGTTTTTTTTCCTCACCATTCGTCAGCCAGTGCAACATCAGGATGCTCCAAGTCATGAAGTCCTAAAAAAGAATGATAATATTATGTCTCAAAGTGGCTGTCTTAATAAAAGTGACAGGCATCTATATTTAAAATGCAGATTAACTTAAACACAGAGAGTGGTTGAAAAATGTACTTTGTGAACAAACATGACAGGTTTGATTAGACCAGAAAGAGCCAAGTCATGCTCAGAGAGCCCTGCATGACAGACATGTTTAGAGAAAGACTTGGAGACAGAAACCTACAGTCATAGGCACTACCCCATGAATATTAAAGTCCATGAAGCTGGACATGAACATATACACTGACAAGTGCAGACACACACCAACAAGCCAGACAAGGATATGAACAGCAAAACCACTTAATTATACGGGCAGAAACTGGGACATTGAAAAGGTAAAGGGTAAAGGGATTCAGTTAATTTTTGTTTCTATGTTGTTTTTTCGAGAAGGGATTGCCTTCCTGAGCAAACTCACTCAAAGACATCTTATTTCCAGGATAGTCTTGGCTTTCTCGCCTTGACTCAGATCATTGATTTTCTACTGGGCCAATCAGCGAACAGAAGTAGAAGTTGTGAACGATGACGTCGATTTTCTGTGCCGTTTTAGAATTGTAATTTGCATGTAGTTTTAATAATGGCAGTGTTGACCACACTTAAAAATATTGAATTAGCTTTAGTTCAGATCCGCATTTCTGTCGTTGCAGTGGAGGATGATTATTTGCAATGCAGACAAATTCTGGTAAACTTCTTAGCGTCGAACTGGTGGATTACATATGTCCCAGGCAAATGTTAGTGATTGGGTTCAATCAAATCAGTCCACATCTCCGGAAAGTAATCATTTCTGAATAGGCGAGAGCCATGGACCCTCTGTACGAAGCAAAGTGTAGGACAAGTGGATGGTTTCTCTCGGTTAATGTTGTTGGGATGTCAATTTTTTGGCTACCTTAAATAAAAATAAAAATTGCTTAACTTTGCTGCACAACAGCAAAGTAGTGGAATACATTGCATATTTTACACACCTAAAATGCTCAGTTACGGAAGAATAATGCTACCCAAAGCTAGTGGTTGAATTTGACAGCAGAATATTAATTAAGTATTTTATACCTAAAATAAATTCAATAATTGATTTTATTTATAAATGTAATAAAATCAATAATAAAAATATAATACACAATAAATATGATAGTATAACCAAAAATGTGTTATACATATTTTTCCCATTTAATCAAAGTTATATTAATAAACTATAATATGTAATTGTAATAAGCCGTGAATTAAAAAAAAAAAAATGGCATCCATCTATTTAAGATTTCTTGACAGAAATCGAAATTTATCACAAAAACTCAAGGTTATAAACTCAAGAAATGAACCCCTATTTATGCATCGAAGCATATGTCCATAACCTAATTTATGGATAATTTTTTGTTGACATCTCCAAAAAGTAGCTTGTCACAGATATTAGATGTGTATTTTATGACAAATCAGCCAATTAGAAATAGTTCATGGAGTGATTAACAGTTATTTTCCTCGCCGATTAAACGACTGATGGGGCAAAAGTTATGAACACTGGAGAAGACACAGACACAAAAAAGGAGGAAGACATGTTGGGGAATCAATAAAAACTGCAGAAATAACTATGAGAACAAACTCAGGTGAAACCTAATGGAGAAAAATAAGACAAGAAGATTTTCTACCTTCTTCCACAGTAACATTGCCTCTGAAGAAATATTTCCCATGCCCTCTGGAAAGAACAACTCCTAGACTAAAATTGAAATAGATACTTTTCAACAAAAACAATGCCAAAAAACATATTTCTTCAAATAATAACGCAGATCAATCCTTCTTACCTGAAAGGAGTGCCTTTAATGTCTGTGTAGTAGTAATCATTGTGTAAAACCAGTACACGTTTCTGAAATCAAAGATTAAAGATGATTTGGCAAATATTTAGTTGACCAACATGTGTTATCTGATGAGATTTGTTACAGTCTAGCTCCATCTAGTGGTACATTGATTGCATGGTTGTGGTTGGGACTGCTGATCTGCTGAGCTATTGACGATATGTTTCAACTGTGTCCTTTGACAATTGTGAATTTGAATGTGTGAATTCTTAATAATTGGACTATTGCATAAAGCAGTCTAAGCTTTAAAAATGCTAAATACCTACACACTTCGACACCAACACACATACACCTCAATACCACTCCACATCAGAGACAGGCGAGTAGTGAAACTGAATCATCAGGAGGCTGCAGCTCCCTGCATACAGCAACATGTGCTTGGTGGAGATAAGAGGCTCACACAGAGACACACACCAGCGTATGCAGAGCAAATCAAATCGGAAACAAAATCCCTAAGTCATGGCAGTGCATCACTGTGCCAGCTTTAACAACCCCTTGGCAGAGTGGATTCTCACTGTTGGGTTGTTTTGTTCATACACCTTTTATAGGCAAATAAGTGCTAGTGTTTTCTGAATTTTGGACAGCTTACCCCTTTGTCCACACTCTTCGTCACCTCCATAGAGAAGGTCCCCGTCTTCCTGTTGACCATGGCATTTCTCAACTAGAAACACACAAAAAGCAAGCACAGAAAAGCCTTGTAGATCTTCAGATACTCAGAGCAGCACTGTGGTGAGGCTTAATGTGGATTTGCTGGTGTCTGACCGTGTCATCCTTATCCTCCCATTCCACTTCAGACAGATCCACACTGCTGTAGTTCGGCTTCCTTCGCTTTTTGCCATCACCGTACTGGACACCATGAGAACACAAATTCAACCAAAAATGAAAGCATTAGACTGTAAGTTCAACATAATCATAATAAACTTTCAACTCGATATTCATATGACAAGATAAATAAAATGCTAGTAAACACCATGAATGCCTAAGATAAATTTACATGCTTCTATATTAGGATTTCACTTATTCAATTCGTGATTAAATATTTTGCATTTCAAAACTTTGTCTTTTCAATTGTTTGAAGATAGACAGACAGACAGACAGACAGACAGATAATTTGATCATCTAGTAAATGTGACATAAAGCAAAACATTGCTCCTTAACTGATGTGCTTATTTTAAGATGTACTTATAAATGCTACTTCCCATGAATCTGTCAGTAAGGACCACCCCCCACCTCTCAACAGTTGCTGTTCATTAACATCTTTAATTAGACCATTATTAAACTCTCCGTCTGTCTGCTTCACTGTCTGGCCTCTCCTCATCTTTTCTTTCCACATCCATCATTATGTCTTCATTTTTTTCATCCGAGCTTGTACCCTGCACCTTTTCCCTCTTGGTTTCGCTTTTATAACATTTTGGACATTGTCAACTCCCCAAGCCCCTCCTGTCAGTATGCTAACTTCCTTCACTCTCTTGTGAAGGGAGTGGGTGAGTACAATAGAGTTAATCACAGCCATTCAGTAGCCCTATCTCTGTCTATTCAGGGAGCAGCAGAGGGTTGGGAAATACTCTTCTCATCTACATAGGCCACACTGCTAAGAAGCTGACAGGACACAGAACAGAGCACCCACACATTTTGCCAAACTGATCTTGAGTCTATCTTCATGCTGAAGCAAGATTTGGTTTTTATTATTGTCGTTATTGTTGTTAGTGATATTTGTTCAGAATAATGCAATAGATTAAAGCTCCAACTTCTGCAGGATTGCTGAGTTAGTAGAGTTAAACTTTGAACATTTGAGATACTCACAAGTGGCCGTAGATCTGGGTGGGTGAGGATGTAGCCATTGTTGGTGATTGCAAAGGCATAGCCATGAATGCCCAGCTAGGACGGAATGATAAGCAGAAACATAGAAACACATAAATGATGCACAACAAATTTGTACCTGATTGTACATCTGCACCAATCAAGCTCTTTGTCATTTCTCTGAAATCAGAATCATTGTTTCTTTGATGAAATTTGGTACGAAGAGATTAATTAATTTATGTTTGGACAAATAATCCACTTTACCAAGCCAAAATGTAGCTAGATATCAGTGAAATAAAAGAAATCAGTACAAGAATTCTGGTGACGAAAATATGCAGAATGTGTTACAACACGTAGTTTTAAATGCTTCGACTTTAAAGCATTTTCCTTTTAGTCAAGAATTGTGGAAAAGGTGTGAAAACAACCAAAGAACTTTAATAAATCAACTTATGACCTATTTTATCCTATTGGTTTTGGATTGGTCAATGCATCAAATTAAAACATACATTTTTTTATTTGTATAACAATTTCGCAAACATAAATCAGTAAATCAGATTATCTAACTTATTTGAGTCCAAATTCTGATTTGATATGTAATTCAATTGTATGTACGGTACTTGTTACGAATGCAGACTCTTCCTTTTGTATAATATTTTCATAAAAAAATTTAAGTAACAAAACCAAATTAACAAAGCACTGCAAACAAATTATTTATATTACATAATATCTTTAGCAGCCAGATGCTGCTTCTCTGACGGGTGTCAGTCATATTCATGGGTTTTTGTGACACACTCTCCTCATCATCACTACCTTTTGACTCAAGGGCTGGGACTAATCTTACTGTTGTGTCTGTCCCCTCTTTGTTTTCCTATAATGGTATGGTCCTTAAACATACACTTAAAAAGTGGGAAAAACCCAGAAAAGTGGTTTGATTTTTGTAAGGATATTAAAATTTGCCTGCTCATTTTTGAGGTGTTTTTGAGAACGTTTAGTATTTATAGCCTTAAATTAATTTAAAATGTATCAAGTTTTACATAATTTGAAAGAAAACTATGACATTCTATTACTTAAAAAAATATTGGCAAAACTTAAATTTATAACCTACTTCTGCCAAGGGTAAGGATCCTTGCGAACTGAAATTTATGCAATATATGAGTTCCACTTCTCAAACTAAATTACTGCAATAATCTTTTTTATATATATATATCATGCTCTTTTGTTGAGATGTATGGCTGAACTCAATATCAAAAAGGAGTTATTAAAATTTTGTGTGTGCTACCTTATATTTAGGAATGGTTTTGAGCAGCTCAGAAACTGGCACGTCTGTCCCAACCACCCCAAGCAGGATTCCTCGGTTTCTCTGGAAAAAAATAAAAAAGATAAATGAAAAAAATTGCACAGAAGTTCCAACAAAGACAACATAAAACCTAAATAAAATTTATGTTAGACTATATCCTAATTTACCAATCAGAATAAAATTATGTAATTATTGTGTAAGCATCCTTACAAAATGTGGATGTGACATTTACTTGAGTTAAATGGCCAAAGAAAATTAATCTTTAAGTCTATATTGAACTTTATGTGAACTTACAGTCTCATTCTTGGTACTGAACACTGGCATTGCTACTGTTGTCATCAGGACCGGACCTTGACCATCATCCGACTGATGGCATTGTGAGAGATAATCAGTGATGAGTGAAAGAAGCAAGGAAAATGAGGGCATGAGAAAAGAGGGAAGCTAAATATGAAATGTAATTTTTATAGAAACAAACAAAATCTAACTACAGGCACACTAACCCTGAATCATTCGATGCATACTGTGTGAAACATATTCCTTTATGACATCAATAAGTGCAAATTTTTCAGTCTGCATAAAATCTACCACTTAAGTTATGAAGGTGATTTGATTTCTGCAGTAGCTTTAGTCATATCATTTTCTTGAGAGATCTTCAAAAACTTTCATGGCATGTTTTATTCATGTTCTTTATTTGCCCTAAAATGTGTTCAAAGTCTGCCTTTGATCTTGTGGAAAAAAAGCTTAACAAATGCAAGTTTTTCCAGTTTAGATATAAGTAAAAAACAAAAACAAAAAGAGTTTTAGAATTATTGTGATATTTAACTTCAAATTTATCTTTCCTTGCCTAATCAGAAATGTATATAAAAAAGCTCAAGGTTGTTTAACACTACATTTATTTCTACCATAAAATAATTAAAGGCATGCAAAATGTTGCCTTCTCTATACCATAGCAGTAGAGCATCTCAGTCAGAATATTAGAGCAACCTCTTTTAGTAATTACAATAAAAAATGAATCTAATTCGGATGACTACATGTATTTGCAATTTTAAATTTTTGTTCATTTTGATTGTAATGGCATTCAGTTCATGAAAACCAAAGACAGTTTCTCAGAAAATTTCAGTATTATACGAGGTCAACTTTTAACATAAACAAATAATGTTGACTTGACAATTGTCCAACAGACAGTCACCAAGTCATCCAGTGGTAAGCTGCAAAAGATAAACCTCTTGAAGACAGAGAAGTGGATGCAAGCATATAAACAGAAAGTTGATTTGAAGAAAAGGTTTGGTAGAAAATGTGTATAAAAACAAGACAGTCTGGAGAGGATTATGAGGGGAAGCCCATTTAATAATTTGTATCATGTTCACAAAGACTGCTGATTCTTGCAAGCCACTCTGTATCAGAGAAAAGATCCAGAAATATCAAGATTTGCATTGCACTTGAGAATCTACCTCCCGGAGTCGAAGAGTGTCGAGAAACACAATCCAGGCTCCGCTGTGAAATCCAAAGTCAGTGCATCCGGCAGCTAGAACACGATAGAGCAACCACGGCTAGAAGAGGGAACAGTTTTCTTTGATGTCCCTGTATTTACTTCAAAATCATACATCTTTAGTCATTTTTGTTGGTACTGATACCAGTTAATCAGTCAGCCATTATTAGTCCTCCAGCACAACATACTTCCTTCACTGCTCACCTCTTCTACAAACAGTAATAAACAGGCAAATGAAAGGACACTTGGTCTCCATTCTGTCTCCCTCAGACAGCGAGGAAAAGGGGATTGGTGACCTGTGTTTAGACAGCTGGTAATAGCAATCCAGTGTGCAGCATTAGACATCAAAAAGAGAACAAAGCACACCTAAGTACAGCTGTTGTTACAATGGATGGCCTTGCTGCTGGAGAATGTGATCGATCAAAGGACAGGAGGAACCAGCAAAGCATCATCTAAAAATACAAAATCTATTTCCAAGCAGGGGTCTATTGGATCATATATCACTAGAGCGACAAGCAGTCCCTTCACTGAATACTCTCTGCACATGAACATTAATCTAAGAAGTTATTTATTTTAGTATATGACCACTTTGTGAAAGTCTACCCTCCTCCAGCTGCTTTGGGAAAAAGCATACTTGATGCTTGATGATAAGGGAATGAAGAAGGAAAGCAGGCAAAAGAATTAGCGACAGAAGGTGTTCCTTAAATCTACTTTTTAAAAAGAGGATTTTAAACCTGTGCTTTATTGTCCAAACTAGTCACAGAAAAAACAAATAGGGTTTTAACACCAATCATTCAAAATATTCAGTGTTTAAAGTTTGAGGGTTAGTTGCCTAGATTAACTTTATTTATCAATAAAAGAGGAGCACAAAAGCTGCTGCACCCTTGAGTCTCTTGAATTCAACTTTTAACATAGACTCATTAAAATGCAAAATAATTTACGACCCATTGTGTCAGTTTACTCTATTATGACCTTTAGGGATTTCTCTAGCCACAGTAAATTACACATAAGAGTTATTTTCCTAGTACAGGCTTGGGGATGAAAACAAATCAGTATGGTTTAATGTTTTTCCACTCCTTTGACATAAAAACACAGACACCTGGAGCCCCTCAGACAGCTTAGATGCACACCCCTGACCTGTGTTTGGTATTTTATTGGAAAACCTTATAATCTAGGTTACTATGACAAATTGTGTGCTGGTAGATGAGGTGATCCTTGTTGCCTTGGAGACCAGGTTTAATGATGCTGCTTTGTGCAAACCACTAGAGCTAAAATCCTTGCTGGCTTCTGTAAGAGAACTAAGAATATCTTCCACAGCCAAAAAAGCTGGCAATGATTCAACAAACAATTATACTGCACAGATGTTCTGCCAAATATCCATGAAACGTTCAAATCCCCCTTAATCAGAGGGAACACTTTTCCTTTTAAACTGTGAAGTTTTTGTAGTCATCTGTTATGAATCTTTGGGCAGCAATTTTTCAAATCTTGATAGACAATACACTGAGTGCAACTTTGTCCTTTGTTTTATTGAGTGTTTCTTCAACTTATTTGAACTCATGACTAAAAAAACAACAACAAAGAGACTGGATAGTGGCTGTTAGGTTTTTTTTTTTTTGCCTTGCTGCAACAATGTTCTTGGAGAAACAAGGTTCTTGATTGTGGTGTCTTTCATCCACAATCACAAAATGCACATGCTAGGTTAATTGGTCTCCCTAAATTGCCCGTAAGGGTTCGTTTCAGCATGCATGATTGCTTTTCCTGAGAGATGTATTAAAAGACAGCCTAGTAAAGGGAGAGAAGGCAAAGACATACAAACAAAGGGATGATGGCTGAGTTACAGTGAAAAGGATCTGGAGCGTACAGGAAAAATAGTATGACCTTGCAGCAGGAAAGTTGATACATATGATCTCCAGAACACAAACCCTAATGGACGTCACTTTTTAAGCCAAATATTCTTATCTGGCACTCAGGCCAAGCTGGTGCAAGTGTTTTTTATGGATGTTTGAGTGTTAAAACCTGGAATAAAGTACTGTTAGAAGACAAAAGACAAATAATCAATGCATATTTCTTGTTAATTCTAGTTGGCGTGTCAAAAGAGTGTCTTCATCTATCCATTCGTACCCATTTCGATGTCAATGAGATCAAATTCCTGACATGAACAACTCTTTGCAAGGTCTCCAGCCTGCCAGCTGTCAAAAGACACAGCTCAGTGCCCGGCTCATGCTGGTGGGGAGGCAAAGCACCCTTCTGTTCTGTTATTATCATTGCTGTGATTACATAGCTCCTTATTGTTACCTATGCAACTTATAAATTACAAAAACTAAGCTACTAAAAATGATAAAAGGCATCAAAATCAGAATCAGAACATCCTGGCATGGATTTCCACCAAGAACACAATGGAACTGCTAATTTTAGAGAACTACACAGAAACAAATAAACGCACAAAACAACCAGGGGAGCAAAATGTAACCACACATTTACACAGAAGACCAGACTGCCTGAATGGAAATAATCGAAAAGCACAGCTAACATCACTGATGAATAAGTGTGAGCACAAACATGTTTGTTTAATCACACATGCAAAAGACTTCCAAGATGCATGACTCGAGCCATTAACTCGACAAACAGCATACAAATACTGCACACAATTAATGTCATGAGGATCACAGTTAGCGTCCCCAAACAATGCGGTAATCTCATAGATATTGGAAACCAAAGCCCGCATGCACAAAATGTACATAAACATACAGCAGCACCCAACAAACAGCATTACGATGGCCTCAAACCGGATGTTTTACCTTTTGTGCTTGGGGGAGCTTAAGGAGAGCAGTTTACAGAAGGAAGGAGGAGGGGGAGGAGAAAAGGGTCAAAAACATTTGTGGATAAGTGTCAGAAAGCTTTTCAAAGCAGTTTTTACTGCACAGAGCGGTAGAGAGTGTAAAAAACAGTGATCCACACTGATTTGCTGCTCAACCGCAACTTCAAAACAGTTACAGCGTAAAGGAAGAAGAGCTTTCTGACACTGAGGGTTGGCAAACAGGGAATAATTAGTTAAACTGCTGATGTTTGGTAAGTTAATTGAATCATTTTCAATGCAACAGAGAAATACTAAAGATGACAAAACAGAACAGAACATCAGAATAGAAGGATAAAACATGAGGAGATCTGTGAAGAGAAAGTTGTTCTTAATTTAGTGTTGAACATTTGGATTTTGCTTCTGACAGACAGCATCTACAATAATCTCCTTATACCTTTTATTTTATTAATCTAGAGAAATAATTGTTGAGAACAGAGTTTGTCTCATTATACACCTTTGTACTTAAGTAAAACATAAAATACATGTATAGCTAAATACTCCAGGATCATGACTGTGTGTTGTGCCTAATTTTAGAAATGGGGAAGAAACTGGCACAAATCTAGTTTTTGGTAGAGTAGATGTAGCAAAAATTAAAGCACTACTATCACTGTTCCCTGCAAATGATGCAAAAGAAAAAAAAAAAAAGTATGTCAACATTGAAATAATTCTCACTATTTAAACCTTCGCCTCCACCACCTACTCGTACCTGACACCAGAACCTTTGGCTCATTTTTTTTTTTCCAAGAGTGACAGCTGATAGTTTACAGAACTGTCAACATCCAAACTTTCCGTAATCAAGACATGCTTATGCTGCTGCTTTGAAAAAAGCACAACACAATGCTGCACTCTGCATTTTCTACTGCCAAGGCCTCCTAACTCGTCTCCCAGCCTCAAAGCTCTGCAGATGGTCCAGAACACGACAGTGTGTCTGGTCTTTAATAAGCCTAAAATAGTACAAATTATCCCTCTATTCATTGAGCTACACCGGGCACCCTTAACATTCAGCATCAAATTCAAGTCACTGACGTTAGTATACAAAGTGCTTAATGCAAAGGGACCTATCTATTTGAATGCAGAGCCATGTTTAAGATAATTCAATCTTTTTATGTTTTGTCCAAAATGGTACCTACCAAGTGCTGCAAAAACAGGCATATTCTTGTCTATGTGCAGGAAAACCGTGAAGACCCGTCTCTTTATAGAACATCTTGTATCTTAAGGAAGGCACCTTTCTGCACACACCTCTATACCTGCACTATTTCTACACTGTCACCTGTGACAGAACCTGACTTATGTTCTTCCTTATACGTAGCTACATTGCTACATCCTCGTTTGTATGTCTCTTTGGATAAAATAACCTGTGAATTCCATTAAAAAAAAAACCCCACACACACATTTTAATGTTCCATTATTTAATAAATACATTTATTTTCTCTTGTGAAACTAATTAGTAATGCCCTCTGTATATTTATGTTTTCCTTGTTGATTGCCAGACCCTCACTGCTTTTAAGGGCTTGTTCTGTTGCATAGTCTATGTATTTTGTTCTTACGCTTTGTTGGTGCTGGATCAAGTTCTACCTATTTCATACCCAACAGTTGCCATTTTATCCCAAACACTTAAATAATAAATAAAAATAAAATTCCTAGAAAAGTTTTATGATTATGAAATTCTTTATTCTTTCAGAAGATGATAGAAAATTATTGTAAATTTTCTGCTATCAAAAGAGATCTTTGGATAAAGAAATGTCTTAAAGTGTATGGTTCTTTTTGTATAAAAACAAAGCTCAATAAACAAAAATGTAAAATGATGGTCTTTATTTGTCTATTCTTTGCTACAAACCATGTGTGCAAATCATCAGTCTCTTTTCAGTGTGACTTTTATTTGCACAAGACCCTGTAATGATAAAGCATGACAAAGGTATCCAAGTTTCTATGCAAGTTTTAAAGCCCTTTTACAATGAAAAACAATTGTCTGCCATAAGCAGTTTTGGCTATGGTCAATGTTCTGCTCATGCTACAAGGCTCCTAAATGTCCTCAAGAGGCTCATTTTCTTAATGAATCCATCTGTTGCACATACTAGCAGACACTTTCACACACTGGTACACTGGCACTCACAGACACATTTTCAGCTCGCTGATGTGTTTAATTCACATTCATTCTTATCTCAATTGTATATTTAATTTATTCTCAAAATGCTAAAGCTTTTTTTTAACATAAGCATAAACAAAATTTGTGCTTTGTAAAGTTTTGATGTTCACTGAGTCCAAAGTATTGCATTTCAATGAGTGAAGTGAAAGTGGGAAAACAAGAATCCACTCACAGTGCTGTCAATGTATGCCTCGGTCCACACTGTGTCATGCTCCCGGTCAATAACTTTGGGGCGACTCAGGACATGGAGATACTCCATCACATTCTCTTGAACATCGGCCAGCGTAGAAATTTGAGTGAAGTAGCCTGCAGAGAAAGGGAACAAGTCAATTCCCAGCTTTCCCAAACAGTATTGTTTTTAAACTATGACTGAATTACTGAAAGTTAGCAAAGAATACTACCAGAAAAACAAACAAACAAAAAAAAATGCATACTCCACACAAATCTGCTGCTGTATTATCCATAGGTTATTATCTTCAAAAAAGTGCTACAGATGTTTTTTCAGACATGTAAAAAAATACTTTGAAATACTGTTAAAAAGCCATAACAGTTTGTTATTAAATGCCATAAAGGTATAAGATCAAATTAACATAATTTGGAGAAAAAATAAATAAATAATTTTTTTTTTTAATTTAAGATCTAGAGGATAATATCTAATTTCCATCTTTTGATCAGTGGTAGGACATACCATGCAGTCTGTTTTGATTTAATATTTACATTGTATGACTGGCATATTTTCTAATCCTGGCACTCAAAACTTCGCAGATTTATATTTAAAGTAATGTTGTAACAACATGCTAATTGTGAGTGGAAGTAAAGAATGGTTCGGCAGTGTCAAGCAGTTTACATTGATTCATTGTCTTGAGATATTTCTGTTAGAAATGCATTTCTTGGTTAAACTAAAAGAACATTGAAATCTAAATCCGGTAGGGGCATAGAAAATGTAATATTACTTTATTATCACACTCCATGATGCACTCTGCACCTTCATTGAAAACATTTTTCATTACTGAGTAATAGTGTTTTATTTCATGTCATGACATATCTGCTCAAACCAGTCAAATATTTTGAGAGCAAAAATTAGAGAGCTTTGTTTGTTAGACATATAAAAAAGCAACCGCTGGAATGAACACAGAAAATGTGACTACAACACAACTGAAACTGGTAAAATTTAAATATATAATAAAGCTTTATTGACTTACATCTCAAACCTACTTTTGTCTCAAACTCGATTTATTAATCAGTTCCTCACCTTTGTTATACAACCAAAACTGATCAAGAGCAGATGTCTGTATGTGTGTTCCAGGTTGTTTCAAGTTGTAAGAGATGAGATTCAGTGGGAGTAATCTTTCCCAAGTTATTAACATCACACTCGCATACATGTCTCTGTAACAAAGCTGAATACAGAGGGCAGCAGAGATTTACTTGGTAGAGAAGATGGCAACCTGGATTTATGTATGAAAAATAGCAAAAGACTGTTCAAGTCAGAGCGAAGCAGCATGGGTTTGTGGATGATTAAGTGGTATGCAAATGTGATGTAAAAGCTATTCTCAGAAAATCCAAATGCGGTGCCATTTCCTTGAGCGGTAATGCCATCATTATGGTACTAATGTACGTGTGGAGGAGGAAATACTGTTATCTCGGCAGGAGGAAAGAAAGCCGGAAAGTAAATCAGGACAACAGTGAGACGGAGCACAAGAAACGACACATGAAAAAGAGAAAAGAGCGAGTCCAACAAGTTTCCACTCAAACGGAAAAAGAGCAAACGGCCTCCATCAGTGCAAAGCAGTCAAGCAGAAAAGTGCAGCTCAAAGAAATAGATTTTAGGGTCACTGTTTCCTAGCAAAACCTTGACAGTATGAGGTAAAAAAAGGCAAAGTTTACACACAAAGAAAATCTAAGCAACAAGCATCACTCTAACACAACCAATTAATACCCAATTCTGAATTTGTACCCGTGTTACATTTAAAGATGAATTAAAATGGACATTTGTTTTTGAAAAACCCAGAAACTTTGGCAACTGTACCAATCTGGTAACTGTGAAACTGATCTAGAGCAGATCATATGAATTTAATGATCATCTCAGCAGAGAATACAGTAACAAAACATATTCATAGACTTGCTTGCATCACACTTCAAGCAGACTCTCAGCTTCGATGCATCGTTCATCACAAGAGACCTGAGAATGACTGCTCCCTCTGGAAGGCTGAGGGTGTCCTTCAGGCTGAGCAACTGGGGCCAGTGAGATGAGCTGGCCAAAAGAATAATGAATGTGCTCTGCTCTCAGTGACACAGCACACCTGTTACACATGCTAGACATATGCTGGCCTGAAACGGCGAGGGCAGAAAAATCGCTTTTAAAAGAACCTTGGTTTGGCATATATGCAAGACAAATCTCTCAAGGTGTCCTTACACATAAATATGATGAAGTGGGAGTGAAAAATGCATCATAATTTAAAAAAACAACAACTAAACAAAGGATAGCCTTGTAAAAAAAAAGTTTGATGAAAGGTCATTTAAAAAAAAGTGATGTGACTGAATCGATATAAATGTCCTGAACTTTGAGAATGCAAGAAAAAATAAACTTGATTTTAACCTTTAGTTGCTAAAGTGTGATGGATTTAGCAGCAACCTGATGAATTATGAGTAAATGTAGCCAACTAAAACAAGAAACATCATTTCAGACTATTTTAGACTAACTTTGCATGAGAGACTAAATAGTTAAGAGACTATTTAGAATGTATTTAAAAATGTTTGATTTACATTGATTTTAATATATGTCAAATATGTTATATATATATATATATATATATATATATATATATATATATATATATATATATATGTGTGTGTGTGTGTGTGTGTGTGTGTGTGTGTGTGTGTGTGTGTGTGTGTGTGGGGGGGGGGGTGTGTGTGTGTGTGTGTGTGTGTGTGTGTGTGTGTGTTAATAGATGTACAGATTGCTCAAAAAATTTCAACGTTAGCAAAAACTGTTAAGTAATGGTGTTATGTCTTTCTCAAGAACAATAATGTCCAAACTCATGAAATTAGAAACTTTTTTACAAACATGGTAGCTATATTTGGAGTGTGGTAAAGAGTTGTTTTTTTCCTCAAGGTCAGCTTGAATTATTCTTTTAGCTTTAATAACCAAGGCTTTTTGTGTCAGCTTCCCAAAACTGTTTACTGCACATAAATAAGGTTATATTTTAGCATCGAAAACGTGATTTCAAAAGAGGTTTTAGATGGAAAAAATTTATGATCGGAAAGATGATAGTCTCTCAGTTCCAGGGTTGGGTCTTTGCTGGATTTTATTTCCCCGTTTCTTAAAGATAAAGATAACATCTTAAGATGCACTTCAAGATGTCCTTGCCCTTTTCCACTTCTCTTAATTCTTAAGTCCCCAGTGGACAATTTGTGATTGTAAACAAAAAACAGGCAGTCTGAAAAAAACCTAGAAAAAGGTCTGACATAATTTCTCAGTTGGTGTGTTTTTTGTTATGAATCTGATTTTAACAATGATAGGTTGGCATCTTAAGTGATGAAGAAGAGACTATTAGGACTTTAAAAGGAATAATTTTATCTGTTGCTGTTTTATGTGTCTCTATTGTGTGCCTACGCCTTTTCTTTTCAATTTTCTGCTTCACAGAAAGCAAAAACAAAAATAATTTCCTGTTACAAATAAACTTCTAATTCCAGAAATATATACATATGACTCTAGTTATAAGAAAAGAGAGGCATGGGAATCTCATCTTTCAGTGAAATTCCCCATAACAGACAGGTACAAACATGTCTGTTATCTTGGTGCCTCTGGTCAAGAAAAAAAAAAAAACTTTTGATGCTTTGAACTTAACGTTTGATGCAGTATCACTGAAAACGGTACAAAAATCCAATCTTTGATTTGAGTATATTTTTGTCATAAAAAACTGACTTGTGATTTTCTTGTCTTGAACAAAATCACCAGTTACACAACTGCTAGCACGCCAGCCATTTCAAATAAATATAAATGAATATCCTCTGTTCAGCATGAAACAAAATATGATTATTATTTTTTAACATGCAAGCAAGACTTGCTACAACTCCCATATATGACACAAACAGCTGAAGGCCTGCTTGTACCCAGTGGGCATCAAACACAGCAGCAGAGCAAAGTGAATTTCATTGGTGTAGAAATTCCAATATATACATAATATATACATAAGCATATATTGTGCTCATGTATATATTCATATATATGTATAAAGAGTATAAAATGGGCACCCAAAAGGATCTAAAATATTTGTGATGGTTAAATAACTGAGTCAGATCATCTCCATAAACTCCAGCACCTGCAGAATAATCCTAACTTGAGTGGTAACCATTTATTAAAGTTGATTCACAGAAGTAACTGTGGGGAACCAAGAAGTCAAGACTCACTGATGGAAAACCATTCACTATTTGCACTGAAGCAAAAAAATTTTTCCAGAGTCTTATCAATATATCTTTGGCTTAACTCACAGCTGTCTTCCCTTTTCTCTCTGCCCATTTCACAACTAATAATGAAAAAAAAAAAAAAAAACACACGAGCAAAAAATCTTAGGAAAAATCCACTTTTATTCTTTTAAAAGCAACAATTACATATCCTGATTGAGTTTCTATTCATGTAATTAATGGTGGAAGTCTTTACAGTGTGTATCAAACTCAACATATAGTAGAACTAAAATGTCAGATATAAAATCTATTGTAACAGAAAACTGCAGACTGTAGGCAAATTGACTGTCACTGCATGTATGATCAACTGACACTTGCACACATTTACACAGCATGACACACACGCAAACATCATCACCACCAACACCTTCAAGCTGACGAGAAATCCTCTCTGATGTCGCTTCCACACAATACTGTGGCTGCCCTGGTCTCTAGTGCAGACATGCTGCTAAATACACAAGCACATCTTTTATGTGACCTGTGACTCTATAGTCTTATCTAATGCACTTGAGGAAATGGAGCCAGACTGTCTAAGTCAGCCACCTCCTGGCTAAATATAGAACCTGGGGGAAAGTGTTCTTTGCACTGAGACAAAAGTGACCACCCAAAACACTGATAGAAAATAGTGTATTATCTTGATTGTACTTTTAGCTTGGGGGGAGATGAAATAACATGACATGATGTGTTGGTGCAACTGCAACCAGCTGCCTGCTGTCATGTGTAAGTGCTAATACTGATGAGCACTGACACACTCGCCCATGCTACTGAATGCAAAGATGAGTTCTCCCTTAGTAACATGCACAAACTAACCACAAGGAGAAAAAGAATAAAATCCCACCTTTGTTAGCACACGCCATCCATTTTAAATTATCTGCAAAGGCTGACTCCCGACCAATCAAGTAGGGGAATATTCGAACCTAAAGAAAAAAAGCAAATCACTACAATTATTCATTATGATCAAAGTTTGATAAAAGCTAGAACAGTACTCTATGAAAAAGAACTTTCGAGTCAAAGTCAAAGGATTCATTCGACTAGAGCAGGGTGTCAAACTCCAGTCCTGAAGGGCCACTGCCCTGCAGTTCTTAGATGTGCCACAGGTACAAAACACTGGAATGAAATGACTTAATTACCTCTTTCGTGCACAGATAAGTTCTCCAGAGCCTTGCTAATAACCTAATTATGCTATTCAGGTGTGGTGCAACAGGGGCACATTAAAAGTTGCAGGGCAGTGGCTGGAGTTTGACACCTGTGGACTAGAGCAATAAAGAGAAATCTGAAGGATTAACAATTCTCTTTTATAGTTTTTATCTAAATAATGTTTCATCTTTATCATCATGTATTTAGGTAGCATTTGAGGACAGATGTAAGTCCTGACAAGCAGGACTTCAATGCAAAATCTGACATCAGTGATCCGACTTATGAGAAGTCCAATCTCTCTACAGCCAAACCAAGATTTTCCAAACAGTTCACAGACAGCTCTAGCAGAAGGTGTAGCTGGCAGGTGTGTTTATGGATCCTGGTGTGCGCATGCCTGTGTGAGAAGATTTTTGCCAGATCAGATTGGCGCAGATGCAAGCCTCTGGGGGCACAGCTGTTCTGGCTTCAGTGGCTGACTTTTTCATTGCCTCACTTCATCCATAGACAACATGACACTGCCAACTGCAGCACATTTCATTGTGTGCGAGTTTATCTATTAAACAGTAATTCTTTGGTAGTTATTTAGACCGTAATGATAGTCACCCACAACCATCAATTTAAATCAGCAGTGCAGAAGCAAACATCAAATCACAGCTGTGGTTTGGAAACACTAAGGTTGAGCAAAAATTAAAGTGTAAAGTATTTTGCGACAGGATACAACACCAACTTAAAACACTCATTTGGTTTGATCATTATTCAGCTCTTGACAGAACATCCAAAATTTTTCGTGTTTTGTGTACTTGGCTTAATTATTGTTTGCGATGCACGTCTGTCACTGGATTTGAAACTAGAAATGACAATGAGAGGAAGAATTTAAATACATGTTTATCTAAGTTCATATCGGAAAGCAAATTCAAAATCTATTCTGTTCTTTTCTAAGCAATTTTGACAGCTTCTCATGTTCTTTAAGGTGCTCTTTGATATGATCAAAAGTAACTTTTCAAAATATTCTTACCCAGGAAGACTGCCTGGTGTTTTGTGCAAAAGTAATTGTATGATGAAACGATAGCAGTATGAATGGATTGTTGCCTTATCTGTAATAATGCAAAGCTGCTTCTGTCTGATTGTCATGAAAGGTTGGAGCCACAATGCAAAGCTTTCAATTTACCAGCCTTGCTATGTTCCAAACCTCAACTATGTTCATGAGATATGGATTATGGCCAAAATTAATTCCCACCTGCAAGCAAACTAAATATGTTTCCTCCATAGTTTAATGTTGGCAACAGGTTGAGGAGCCGCTTCAGAAAAACATGGCAGAATGAGGTGGAGACCAGAAAACTTATCTTAGATGATCTTTCTGAAGTATTTTTAGAATACGTCAAAACATTGATAAATTTATTATTCAACCTAACTTCCTAAACCTAACCTAACAACCTAACCTAAATTGTGCAAATGTTCAAATCATTTGCACAATCTTTTTATTTATTTTTATTAGTTTTTTTATTAATTAAAATCTTTGTTGTTGTTTTTTTTCTTATTTTTGCATTTTAGACTTTAGGCACTAACGATGTTTTTCACAGCAATAAATAGTACATGAATAAATCTGTGATTTTCTTATAGATAATCAAGACCTGATTTGCATTTCTAAAGTCAAGCAGTACTGTGATGTCAGACAGTAGCGAGGGAGGTAGTAAAACCAGCGAGGAAAAAAGAAAAACATTGAAAAGCAGTAATGGAGGAAAAGAGGGTGAACGAAACACACTGGAGAGAATGACAAAGACTGAAGACTTCTATTATCAGCGGGGTTCTTCTAAATGGAATCATCTAGCAGCCTTGTCCCTTCTCCACTCACTGCTGTTGAGACTTGAGGCAAGATTTGGTGGGAGGGGGAGGTGCTGGAGCCGGAGGCAGTTTCCATACAGACTATGATAGATAGACAACAACAATACTACTCATATTTGCCAAATTAGATTAATGATATTAATATTAATGAACGCACAGCTATGCATTACATATATCAAGCAATCTTCTAGATCATTTTGCAAACTATACAAGAACTGAAATTGAAGAGCAGTCATTATGCGTATATTTGTCAGGATATGTTAAAGACTGGAGATTTACAATTTTGCTTGAGGCTTGTTTAGTATGACTTTGCTCTGACTTTAGAAAGTTTAACTGCATCCTTTTATATACTAATTTTAAACCAATGTAAAAAAAAAAAAACATGAATACGAGGTCATGATAAAGGTTTTTATTTCAGTGTAGTTTTATCATTTTCCTATAATATGAAATAAAAATGTGATTTCTTTGAAAATGTGATGCAATAAAAATGACACATATATGCAACTGAAACCAGATATTTAGTGACAAATATATTAAAGCACACTTAATGTTCTTTTCCCAATGCCCATGTGTGTTAAGATGTTTCTTCAGAAATTTTCCTTAATGTTCTGATGATGTATTCTTTTCTATAAAGAGCACCAAGCTGTCCTGCGTCACAATACTAACACAACATGATGCTACCACCCCCTTACTTAAGAAACAAAACAATATCGGAAAATGTTCAATTATTCTTTAAATGTAACACTGGTCATTATAGCCAAACACCATTTTATTTTAACCAAAGTAATGTACACATTATGTCAAAAAATGACTACTATGTACTATGTACATAGTAGTACATAGTTCTACTATGTACTGCATAATTTACACATTAAGCAGTACATAGTAGTCATCTACTAAACTCAGTTTAGTAGATGACTAAACTGAGTTTAGTAGATGACTAAACTGAGTTTAATAGATGACTAAATTGAGTTTAGGATGATTTGTAGATGTCAACAATTATGTTTCTGACAAAAAATATTCAATGATTTCAGATTTAAGCTCTGATATCCATGCTTAAATTTGCAGTTGTTTGTATTGCCTGTTTTATTGGAAGAAACAGCCATTTTGTTGTTTTCTAATTTTAAATGGAAATGTGTGCTTAGAACTGCATGCTTATTCTAAAATAAGTGTGCTTGATGAGGGATACATGTAACTTTGATGTTAAAAAATATTTATTTTCCTGTGGGAGGTTTGCGGTCTCCCACTTCTTGCCTCCAGTATGCAGCAATGACCACAGCAAAACTTCTCTAATAAAGGCTTTTTGGCACAGTGGTCAAATTCTGTTTTTCAGCAAAAGGAACACAATACCAAGCCTGATGTCTAAAAGGCCCACCCGCAGGTCCAAAGTATCTTTTGGAAAAAGACTTTCAGAAATGCCAAAACGAAAGAAACAAATGTAAAGAAAAACAGGTCAAGAATAACACGTAAATATCCCCACAAAACTTGTGCAAAATCTTTTTTTGATTCTATAGGTCAAATACTTCTACACTAGTAAAAATACATTTACAACAGTTTAATCTGTGAATAAAGATTAATTTAAACATGATTAGTTTTTCAGAGTAAAAATATTTTCAATAAGAAAATATGGAGTTTCTTTACCTTCCTGTCTGGCCAGTTGTACTTCTCAAAGATGGCATCGTATGTGTTGACTGCTCCATCTGTCACCAGCATAATGGCCTGGCTACACTCACTGCCCCTTCCAGTCTTATTAAACTGGAATCAGACAGAAAATGACACTTACGTTTTCCACATTTAATCACTAAAAGGCCATGTTACCAATTTCCTGCCTATTGGATAGAATGTATTTCAGTTGCAACAACGAAGCAAACAGAACATAATATACATAACACTATGGACATGAGGATATTGAGAGTGAAAATGTTTCTCAAGTGCAACATTGCATGCTGTGAAATACACTTCAAGCTGTTGTTGGTATTGCAGGATATTGAAACAGATCATTGCTTGTCAGATATGATTATACAGATCAAGTTAATAACTGCATGCGTGTCTACTTGTTTGCATGTAAATTTGATTAATTGATGTTTCCTAATGACAACAACTTGAGTCATCAAGTACCTTGTTTACTCAGATTATTTTTTGTAGTGATTCTACAAACTGAGCTATTAATTACAGTCTTAATTAAATGTTAGCATAAAACCGTTGTTCAGGTGAGTGTGTGTGTGTGTGTGTGGGCGAAAATATTGTTTCTCTGTGAGTCACTTACATCACTGAGAAGATTGAACGCTTCCGTCAGAGCTATGTCCAACATACCAATGCCTTGAGCAAACAGCTTATCAAGGTGCTCCCGGAAATGCTGCAAACATAAAGTTTGGTGAGGCAGGATTTCAGATCATGCTTACAAATAAATAACTGAACTACAAATTACAAAAGATGCTTGACTTGTGGCCCTTAGGTCTTTTTATACAAAAAGCAAGACGGAGGTAATCATAACTTAAGGAAATTATCAATATAAGAACAGACTGATTTAATATTTTCTTAACATATCTCATGTTATTTTACACAATTTATATAAACTGTGTGTGGAGAGAGACAATACAAACAGACTAATGGACTCTTAAAAAAAAGCTTTGGGCCAAGTTATTTTAACTAGATGCAACTATAATGCATTAAGGATGTTTTCATTCTCTGCATTTTGTCACATCACAAACAGAAATACTCTGAATTTTATTAGAAGTTTGTGAAATAGACAAACACAAATGTGCAAATAACTGTGCAGTGAAATGGAAATTGTAGTTTCCAAAATTTACTTTCAATGAAAATTCTGAAAATGGCTTTCTGAATTTATATTGCAATATCAAACTGAATGAAGAGAATTCTCACATGACGCTACATGTTCACTAATGTTTTCTAACAAATCTGTAAAGGCAAATGTATACAGCAGAAGGTCAGAGGTATAGTTGTATAAAATTTAAAGTAGTTTTTAACACCTGAAAAACCATTGTTTAATCAATCAAAGGTAAATGAGAAGAATATAACTTGACCTGACTGTCCACTGAAGCTTACAGGTCAGACAAAGACAATATTATTCAGGGTAACTTTGAAAGAGCTGCAGAGAGGTCGGCGAATTTAATAATAGCGACTGTTATAATTACAATAGTGCACTCTACAAATCCAAGCTTTATAAAGTGGAGTGGCTAGAAAAAAGGCCAACATTGAAAGAAAGCTATTAGAAGTTCAGATTACACTTTCCTGCAATACATGCCAAAGCATTGTTGAAAGAGGAACTCAGACAAAAATGTACATTTTTGTGACAAAGTTAGGAGGGTAAGTTTACATTTTTGTGAAGCACAGTATATATATATATATATATATATATATATATATATATATATAATATATATAATATATATATATATATATATATATATATATATAAAACATTTCCCTGTGACAGTGTAAACTTATTTTCATAAACATAAGTGATTACACCTTCATGTACATGTCCAGGTCGTGTTGGAAAAAACAAGTTACACCTGATTGTCAGGTGTCATAGTGCATGAACACCTCAGACCTTGTATGCCTTATCAGTATCATGATCCTCAAACTTCTTTTCCTTTTCTTCCACTTTTTGAGACAATGTTTCAGGTATTTGTTTTTTTCAATGATGGACAGAGGAATGTGTTTTAACATTCAGCAGGGGTCAGCAAAATGTGTAGGAACATATCAATAGTATTCTCAGTGGGAAGAAACTGTGCAGTTGTACATACAAACGCATACCAAGCATAAGTACACAGGTACACAAAAAAACTCAGCGTCTCTTCTAACATTCTCATATTGCAAAAAGACAACCTTTCCGTGGTTGCCGATAAAAGGTTAATCGGTTCCAACAAAAGACCTCTCCCTGGAGCATAGCAAGCTTTCCCTATTGCCCGTGCTTGCACCTGTGACTGCCTGTGCGTAAAGATCGAAGTGATTTTTCAGAACACAGCAGGCCATGCTTAAATCCAGCAGAGCATTTACGTGGCAGACAGAAAACGTGCACATATTTGAGAGGGATTCAAGTGTGAGTGCAATACTAAATATGCCGGAGTTTTTTCATGGCACTACAACGACTTGAAATGAGAGCTGGACGTCGCATTTTTCAGAGAGTGGACACTTTTAATTCTTTAACGTGAGCATCGCTGCTAGAGCAGTCTAGCTGTAAGAATATCCATGTGAACGAATAAATTATCTTCAAATGCAGCTTGCCAAGGCATTTGCTTTTGATTTTATGGCAAATTACTCATCTCAACATGGAGATATATGTACTTCTGATAAATGCAATTAAAGGCAGAAAAAGAGCTTTCTGTAAACAAAATGAGCAGTTAAGTATAGAGATATAAAAACTTCAGCGTGTTTGGAATCCAACTAGCAGGCATGAACAGTAATTCAATACCAAGTCGAATCAAGAGTTTGCCATCGTATGATATTACATCACCGTTTTTACTTGCAGAGAATTTTGCTTGATTCATTAAGTATAATCCTCTTTTTCACCATATTTGATCTCATTTTAAGCTGTATTACTTTGTTTTATTTAGGCATAGCTTTTTTTTGGTTAAACCCCTTTATATAAATTTGTGTGGGGGACACATTTTACCCATTGATTTAACCAGGACTCTGTGGATGAGCAGAGAAATACAGTCAAATCAAAACAGAATGTTTCATATTCCGTATTAACCATGTCGAAGTATTCAGTCCAAAGTAGCAAATCTCTACTATTTTTTTTCACTTTAAAGTTCAGCAATGCCTTTGTATGATTTCCTTGGGGAGAAACCCTATTTAAGGAATGTGAATATTCTAGCAATATTTTATCTGTCTTTTTTAGCTAAAATAAACCAGAGCCAAGTTTAATCGAGTGAAGTTCAGAATCAAGACTAATTTTCCCCTAAGGGAAACTATTGGCAAGACCTACAAATTCATGCATTTCAGAGGAAAAGTTTTATATGACCATGAGCTTTGGGACACATCAGGGTTGAGCATCAAATATATATATATCGATACACAAATTCCATTAACTACGAAGTTATAATTTATTTCATTTAAGAACGTTCTGATTTAATACAATGTTAAACACGTACAACCAAGAAATCAAAAAGAGAAGCTCTCTGACAACATGAAGTAAGCTAAAAGATCTGAAAACCAATCCTCATCTAAAGCACTTTAAGGACAGACGAGCAACAGACTCACAAATATCTATTGCCATTTCCAAGGCTCAAGGACTGTGGTGAATGAAAATTCAACTACAGTTTGCTAGATTTTTGTCACATGAAAACTTGATGTCTTAAAGTACTTTACCACATTAAAATATGGCTTTAATAAACCACATGAGCACTTTTGCAGCCCCTATTGGGACATCCGCTTTCAGGCTTTCTTCTCTTAGACAGGCTGACTCATCTACATTAAGCTACTGCATGGAACACGCAGTTCTAATCCATATTCATAAGTGTGTCGTCACAATAAGGTAAACAGAATCTAACAACCTCAACAAAATTCATGCAGAGAGCATTTTTCACCAATTGCAAGTGCAGCTTTGAAATCATTGCATGCAGTCACAGGTAAATAGCTTACTGCTGTGCTGGATTAATGCAGAACACAGTGAATGGAAATTAAGAGAAGATGAATGAGATTTGATTCATTTTGAACATTGCAAGATCCTTATGAATGTATCTTAAATTTCCAATCAGAACTCTTAATCTCATACTACAAATATATTATTACTTCTATATAAACTGCATTTATCATAATTTCTCCAAGTTTTCTATAAATAAATGTGTATGTAAAATATTATTTAAGTATTAATGTGCTACTTGAACTAGAGAGTGTAGCACAGATAATCTTAATTACTCATCAAAAGTAAGTGTTGTTGTATACTGACCCTATATTGAAGCATTACAACATTTAATTTGTTGCAACAACATTTAATTAGCCTTTGGGGTAAACAGTACCAAAGTATTTGAATAGAGTTGAATAGAAGCAAATAAAGACTTATTTTAATGCGTTTATGCATTCTAACAGCGTTCACACAAACTTTTGAGTTTGTTTGACAAACTGGAAAATGAAGAGCAACTGTACATCTGAGTTTAGTGTCTTTTTTTTTAGTAAAGCTTTTAATCAACTTCCTATATCTGTATGAACAGAGTTCTGCATAACAGAAAGACGGGAAGGTAAAATGAGGATATATTTAAGTACTTTATTTCAGCGTTCCTGTCTTTATAATGACACTATAGACAATTTTACATTTAAGTAGCAATTTTTAGATTGATTTAGTGCTTTCTCCAACATAAAATTCAATGCCCCAAATTTTATTTCACATCGCCGTATCTTGACATCTGCAATTCTAATCTATGAACAACTTTAAATTGAACTGATAAAATCACTCACATCTTTGTTGGTGACATCTGCTTGAACCAGGGTTCCATTCAGACATGGCTCCACATAATGCAGTTCCTCATTGTACTAGAGAAATACAAAAGGAATTTATGAAAGTGAGTCATTACAAAAAATAAAACTACTTGAATTTTAAAAGACGCAAGAAAATTCACTCCTCTCTATGACAAGAACAAAATGCATGCATTGCACAACACACACCCCAACCAGTGCCGGCTATTTGGTGATAATACCCCTTAATGCATCACTATGAAATAAACTTCAAAGACCTGGGAAGACAATTGAATTGTGTTTCTCCAAGCCACTAATTGTGCTCTAATCCGTTTCTGTGTGTGCTGCATGTGAGAAGCTTTGGACTGAATGTGTGTTTATTGCAGAATGCAAAACATATTCCCTGTGCAAAAGATTGTTTTCTCTCAAGAGTGTATATAATTTGTTCTATTACGTTTGATACTGAAGTGAAAATAATACAATGTTGAGATGCACTCAAAAAAATGGCTTTTTGAAACAGGAATGACAAACTCAGCTGTCAAATTAAGAGATTATTTTTCCTCATCCTTTTCAAATTGTCCTTTTTTTCAACAGAATAATTTTCTAATGATCTTAAGAATATTAAGTGTTACTGAAATATGTGTTCACCATGTAAAAAACAGTGACTTCATTATATCTATATTTGGATTTTAGCATTTCCAATGGAATTTTCAGTAGAAATTGTTTTAAATGTAATCTTTAGGACACAAATACATTTCCATACCATTCTTTCTTTTATAGATGGAGATATTACAAAAATCTGACTGCTTATGATTCTCTTTAGCAAAACTCGAACATCAAATGTGTGTGTACAGCAGAACTGCATCAGCCTGAATAAATGATAAGATTAGCAAAGATCCTGAAGGCAGGGAATAACCAAGTCTGTCTCTTTTGCATTTCAAATCTTTATTGAAATGACAATTAATTAATTATGAGCATGACAGGAAAGAAAGCTAATTTTTAAAGCATGTTTCTAGTGTGAAAAGGAAAAGATAAATATGGGCTTGTCTTGATGTGTGTGTGGAAGCTTGTCGTCTGCTAACTGACTCAAAATGTTATTTTTTGGGGACTAAGAAGCCAACTTGACACAAACTTATGAGAGCTATAGCTCATGGGGATGAATGTGCACTTTAAAATTGTTTTTAAGATTAAAGTTGCTGTATGTAACTTTTATAAAGAATATGTTTTTTACATATTTGTTAAACCTCATATCAGTATGCTATGAGACAGATAATCTATTAAAACATAAGTCTCCATCCTGAGCTATAATTGCAGTCTGAAGAAATGCACTGCTCTTGAACCAGAACTAATCAATCAGAGCCAGGAGGAGGGTCTTAACTCTGTCACTCAACCGCAGGTACACACTACTACATGTGCCAATAGAAGAGAAGCAACTTACAATTGCAGAACAAATCTTTATCTACTGTATTCAGTGACTACGCTAACTAGCCTGAGCGTTCACAACAAGGTCGTTTTGACAGGGAGAAGTGGTGTCGTGTCTTACCATGGAGCAAGGGAGGCAAACGGCAGGGAGATGAGCAGCACCACACAAGATTGTGATTGACAGCACTAAGATGCACCTCTGTGCTCTGATTAGTTGTGTCTAGGTTACAGTGGGAGGAGGCAGAAGAGCTTGATTTTTTTTCACAGATTATCTGTCTCATACCATACTGTTGTGTTATGCCAGTTTCAACAAATATGTAAAAAAAAAAAAAAAAGTTCTAAAAATTACCCTCCTCACCATTAAGACGTGTTTGAAATTGTTCATGAGTAGCTTTAATGTTAGTAGTCTACATTTCTAGGCAATATGATGAATCTGTTGCTTCACATCTCCATTTTGGGTGGAGTTAGGGTATTCTCATGACTGCTTTTCTCCTGGTATTACTCCAACATCCAAGGTCAATCCTAACTGACCTTTGATGTGAGTATTTGTGTGCAGTGTTTGTCTTTATGGAAAGACACATAGTCCCTTACTTTAACTGTGACCCTTAAAATAAGTTAGGGAATACAGAAAATGGATGGGCTGGGTCATCTTTGTTTGTAGAACACTTACTGGATTTTGAAATAAAAATATTGGTCTTGAGCCTAGACTTACAGCAATGATATTAAAAAAGTCATCATCTCCAAGAGTGTCTAGAATGGAGGAAACCGTCTGTCTGGCAATGGTAAGTCTCAGGCCTTTCATGCTGCCACTGACATCCACCAGGATCACCACATCCTTTGGAGAGGTGGCTGCCTGGATGTACCACTTTCGATTACGACAGTCAAAAGCTATAACTCCGTGGTCATCTGGCTTCCATTTGATTCCTGTAAAAGCATTGTATATTAAAAAACAAAACAAATCAGCTGCATTGGTCTGTGCCATAAATACTTATACCTCACCCTTTAGTAGTTTTTTTAAACATTCATGATGGTGTTTGTTAAACTACTTCTTCCAGCATTCTTTTTTTTTTTTTTTACCTCCATTGAAAAACTAATAGCATATTTCATTATGTAAAGTTTCAGATATGGACAAAAAAATTGTTTCCCATCACCAGCATTGAAAAACACTAAACACCTCACAAAAGCCACTTCAAGCTGTTTCCATTAGGATTATTTCTTCAATAGGTGCAATGCATTTTTATTTAAAATTCAAAACAAGGTCAGTGGATTCAAAAACAACAAAATTATTCATTTTCTTCTATGTTTTTTATTGAGTTACATGGTATCCAGAGAGAAACCTAACACTGAAGGAAATCATTTCAAGACCTCAGGTGTTCCATTTCATTTATTGAAATGAGGAAGAGGTGATGTTTCAAGGACCTAAAAATAGATGTTGTCCTCTAAACCTACAAAATATAGGATTTGCATCATAGCATCTAATTTGTATCTTTGATTTCTATTCATTACGTCTGGGTTTTTTCACTCAGATGTGGTTGAATGTTCATCCCATTCAAGCACAAACTAATTTATATAAACTCCCCTAGCTTTTTTGCTCCAGTACGATGCGTCTCCTCTTTCAAAAATAAAAAATAAAAAAAACAGCACAGACTTACCAGGATATTGTCTAAAAAAGCCCTTAGCACTGCCAAAGTATTGCCATATTAGTGAGGGATCCCTCTCAAAGTTATCCACAAACACCTTGTTCAGGGCCTCTGACCAGTACACACCATTGACAATTGCAGAGTCTATGAAAACACAGTGAGGAAATAGAGAAATCACCGAAAGTTGGTTACATTTTGAAAGGCTGGTGACAAGATCCACAAATGCAAAAGATTCACGAAAGCACAGAACAAGATCCACAAATGCATAGAACAAGAGCTACACTTTCATACTTTAACTGGTAGCTGATGGATCATCACGCATTTGTGAATCTCGTCCTGTGCTTTTGTAAATTATGAGACAGTTTTAGCTCCATAACACTCTGATAACAGACAGCATGTCCATAAACAGGTTTTACAAAATATTGTACAATAACCGAAAAGATAATAAAGATCTTTTTTTGTCCTCCACATTGAAAATGATATTTTCTATCATGAATATAGATTAGCAAAAAAATCCAACAAATAAGAGTGAAATACTGCTACTTCCAGTGGGTGCCAGAAGTAAGAGCGATAATCGTTTCTACAGTAAACCTCCCAGGAATAAGGTGGAGAGCATAAGACAAGACAGATGAACAATAATGATTTTACTGACTATTTGAAAGCTGACTTTGGGATTTTGAAAGCTACTTAATAAAGCTACTCTGCTTCTGTTCATTTAACAATAATTTTGATATATGCATATGCAGTAACAGATAAGCTCCAAATTATCTGCTATGCTCTGGCATTAAGTTAATGTATCACTTAATGTGTAATTAAGTGATACATTAATTAAGTACTCTATTATGTGGAAAAACAGAATATGCATAATAAAATAGATTTGAACATGTGAGAGTTCATCTTAAAAATTTTCATCTTAAAACCCCACAAGTATAGTGTTTATCTTTGTCCTTCTGCAACACAAACAGGTCCATGATTATTCTCTATTAGAAGAATAATCATCTGCAAAGTATCCCATGTGTACACATTAAACCTTGTTCTTAATGTTTGAACTATGTTCTTAAACTAAGAACATAGTCTGTGCAACAATTTTTGGACATAAAACTGCAGAAACTGGTGAAGTACAATATGGCTCAGCACATCCAATTATGATTTCTTGTTTTTAATTTTCAAGTTGAGAGTGTCAATACTTTGCTAGTTATGAACCAGTCAGCCAAGCTTTTTACAGCTGCTTTCGTCTTCATTCAGGAGCAGGATGGGAAGGATGGAAGCAAAAAAAAAAAAAAAATGACAAAGAGCCAGACACAAAATCATACAGTGAGACAGAAACACAATACCCGCTCGAGCGAGCAAGAAAAAAAAAAAAAAAAAAAAAAAAACAATCAAGAATGCATTCAGAGAGATGGGTAGAAAATGACAGACACACAGACAAGTACCTAATGGATGGAGTGAAAGAGAAGTAGATAACAGATTTCACATCATCTCCATTGCTGCCAACATTGTTCTGCTGTCAGCAGTCATGCCAATAAGCAATGAGTGAATTATTCTTCTGGAAGCTATAACACACTAAAGCCCTTTGTTGATTGTCAACACCCATTTACCTCCATGGAATGGAGTGGAGTGGAGATGGGACTGGAAAAGATCCAGAATGTATTTACACAACAATGCAGTCACTTCTGGTGAATTTCAAGTGTCTATTACGATCTAAAATCATCATAATGAGGAATCAAACATGGTGCTACTTGCCAACAAGGTTTCATTTAACAGAGTTTAACTTCGACAGGGAGCCTGTGCAAAAGCGTTCATGGTCCAAGATGAAAAGCTAAGATTAAACAGAACAACATATTGTGGCTAATGAAAAGAAATCAGAATTTTCCTTTTGTGTAAATTAGCTTACCTCAGGGACAATAGGAAGGAAATTTAATAATTGATTTCTGAAATCAGGATAATTGCACTTAAAAGTGACAAGAACAAGGATTCTAACATGTTAGTTGGCCTGCTGTGAAATGTCACATATCACAATATATCTATACATCTATCTATATATAAGACTTTTAAACGGATCTATCATCCTTACTTTCTCCTTTCCAGTCTTTGTCACAGATACATTTTTGGGATTTGAACATTATTCTATGGTCAGTTCTCCAAATAACAGGCAGAATAATGGTGAGAAACAGTGGCAGCTGAGACCAAAGCAAACATAAAAAACTTAACTTGTATTCTGGCATTTTTTTAAAAAACTGTTTGGGAATGTGATTATGAAATTGACTGTTATTACCATTTCCCATCTTGTTACCATACAACCATACTTTTGTTTGAAAGCACAAATACCAATCAGAGCCTCCTCTCTCATTCACTTGGGAGAACTCCAACATTAAAGGAGCTCAGCCAGGTGCTTGACAGCTTTTCACATTAGTCTGCACAAAATTAACATGAGAAAGCTGCCCAATTGAGCTCTTGAAAGGGCTCTAATTGACTACCATCTATGTTGAGTTTTTGGACTTGTGAAAGTAATACAAAAGAAAAACTAGAATGTCAGATGAACAAATTCATGTCACTGAAAATATTCAGTATTAGTGATTTTATGGTAGAATTGGTGCATATCCTTCATAATGCATTTCAAATGCAAAAGATTTCCAAAAGAAAACCCTGTCTACTTTATTTGAACAGAAATTTAAGACCTTAGAGCCGAAGAGGTCTAAAGTCTTACACCACTGCTAAAGCGTGTAAGGAATATGAGTTTGAGAGTCAAATCATTTGTCTGTAAATCACATCACAATTACCGTCCCTGTTCTATCAGCCTCACTTTCCATGCACTCTCATTTATTTAGTTTCTAACTTTTTTCCTGTCACTCTGACTTGCTTTTTCTCCTCTTTTTATAGGGGGCAATTAATTTCTTGCTTAGACCTTCCATCAGTCTGACTTAACCTACTTTCTTTTTCAATTACGTTCTCCCTGTTCTCTCCCTCCCCCCTCCTCCTCGCTCTCTATCTGTATGTACTTTTGTTGCCCCTCGTAGCTCAGTTAAGTCAACTTGACATTCACTTTGTCCGCAGAGCCTTGTACTTGGCCTCGAATTCTCTTGTTGGATTTGAGCTGATGGTGAATCAGAAGAAGTCTAATTATTAACAGCTAATTAGGTCAATGTGTGCCAGTAATGAACCAAAGAGTTACAAATAATGAAGTCATATCCACCTACTGATAAAGCCATATGTTATTGTCCAACAACACAAGCTGAATGTTTGTATTCTTAAACAATTTCACATGAAGCAAAAATTCTGACTTTATCATTGCCACAGTGCTAATTTTCTAGCTCCAAGCCACATTACCTAAGGACATAATTCAGTGTGATCAGGAACTGGATGGCTGTAAGTAATTACCACTGAGTTTTTTGTGTATTAATTAGAAGGTAGGCTCCTTGCCGCAGGCAAAAAGAGCAAGACGTATGATACTGCACAATCAAAAGTTTTCAGAAAAACGCTTTATCTCATCAGCAAAACGTTGAACATAAGGAGAAGATAAATTTAGGTGTCTGGCAAATGTTTTCAATCATAACTGATGAGTTTGCTGGACCATTTACAACGGCTAAAATCTGAGTCCACAATATTTTAGTAGGAAGCTATGCTCTGTGTCTGGTGCAGGGGTTTTTATGTTGTTTCCTTCAGCAGTTTTTGATGCAGCACCACTAGACTAGGTAAATAAGTTTTTCAAAGGCTTTGGTTCATTTGACAGTCTAGTGAGCTGAAAATGTAATAAACGCTGCACTTTTGGTCTCCACTCGAACTAAGTCTATTGGATTACCAGGTGTGAAAACACTCCAGGACCAAGCAACATCTTTCACTGTTTTCAATAGCACAGATTTTTTTCTTGTGTCAAACAATTTGCATTATGAATCCATGTAAAACAATTTCTTCATATAGACTGTGTATATAGATGTTCTGTATATTGTGGATTGTTAACATACCTTTATTGTACATATTGGTGGGCACTTGGACCACACTGAGGCTGAGGTTGACTGATCGGTTGTTAAAATGATCGTTGGGCTGCAGGACAAACTTTCCTCCCAGCTCTACATCCTCATTGATCAGCACAGCATTGAAGTATTCATACTGGAGACAAGAACAGACAAAGATACAGACTTAAAAACATCTGCACAAAGCTAAAACTTAAACATAAAGTGAAACCTTAATTTCAACTTAAGTTGTCACTCTCATCCAAGGATCTCAGTCTCAATCAGGTCTGCTTACTGAGTCGTGCTGTCGCTACATGAGAGAACCTGGCCACTTTAGTGACATGCATTAGTGAAAGCTGAAGTAACCTGAATCCCTGGATCATCCCAGGGTGTGCATGTTGTTACAGAGAAAGATGCTGAGCTGACAAATCCCACCTCAAGCGTCTGTGCACTACTTGCCCAGTTACATTGTGCATGAGGTGCAGTGCCTCCAAAGTATTTTTAGTACTGGGTAGACTAAGAAGAGTATTAATAAATCATAGTTCTAGACACATCGACAGCACAAGAGTCTCTGCATCCCAAAGCTTCAGAAGAACACTACAGCCACCACAGATTGCAGTTGCAAAAGAAAGAAGCACTGCAGAACAGGAGGCAACAAACAGGCAGAATAAAAAACAACATTAAAAGTCTCAGAAATACAACTTTCGTAGCCTGGCAGGTTTTAAAAAGTAAACAAACACGTCGATGCTTTTTGGTAAAAAAAAAAAAAAAAAAAACTACAGCTCAAATTGCAAGTTAAACTATACCAAGGCAGTTGTGGCTACAATGTAGCTTATGTAGCGTGTGAATTTGTGTGTGAGAATGTGAATGATTGAAAGTGTCGTAGATCTTTGGGGTCCTCTGAACTTGATAAAGCGTAATACAAGTGAAGGTCATTTACCTTTTTTATACATTTAATGTAATTAATTGTTTGTTTGTTGTTTTTTTTTCTGTACAGCAGGCTATAGTTGTGGTGCTGTTCAGTGTTTAGAGTATCTCCTTGTTTATAAAGTGTATTTGTGTAAATATTTATGTCCAGAAATTGATTTTTTTTTTTTTTTTTTTTTTTTTGTTTTTTTCTTTTGGAAGCAAACATGATAAAATCTTCAAGAGATAACTTGGTATTTTTGTCAGTAACATTTAATTAACAATCACTGTAAACAATTTGAAACACAGCCTACTGACATGTTTTAGCATTAACCAAGAAACAAAAATATCTTGAGACATGACTAAAAGTTCACATAAACAATAAATAAGTTGAAACCAAACTTTAGAGCAACAAAGTCAGTAAAGTTTATTCCTAAAGAACCTCTCATAGCCACAGCACAATACAAGCATACAAAGTTACAAACTGCATAAAGGAAATAAAAAGAGAAATTACATTAGAGTAATAACATTAACATAAATAATAGATGCATGTGATGTAATGTAATAAAGTTAGTTTATGTTTCTTAGACATCATTGAACATTTGTGGAAGAAGCACTTTAAACTTAAATGTAATTAAATGGACTTCTATCCCCTTGCCAGCTGCTTAACTCATGCATGATTAACCTTCAAAGGGGTAAATCTTCCTTGGTCCTCAGGAGAAACAATACTATCCCTCTTGTATAGAGCAAAACACAGATAAAGCCATCAATTAGGTTAGCAAGCTTTGTGCCCATTTGTATAATTAATCAGCCCTGATTAGACTTGAAACCTTTTTACCAAAGAGGATTCTCCCATTTCAAGGTGAGAAAGTGTAGAGTTGAATATATCATCCAAATCTTGTCCTTTGCTGGACGCACAAATAAGAACAATTTGGTAAGCTACAAAAGTTTAAGATGAGCAATAATTTTTTCTGTGCCAGACAGGAAGTGGATTTTATGTTTGTCGAAGTAAGTTTTCAATGTAACTTAACTTCAGATCTTATTCCAGTACTTTAGAAATCTGAATGCGAGTGTGTTCAGAATTATGATCCATAGATTCAGAAAACTCTAGTATGGGCAGTGAAAATGTGTTCTGTAGCCATAATAAATTGTGAATATTCTGAATAAAATGCCAACATAATAGCTAAAATAGTGAAAGAGTCTTTGATGAGAGTGTTTTTAAGCTTCCACCAGCATTTCAGATCTTCACATAGCAGTACTAAAGAATTGCCAACGGCATCCAGAGCAAGTGATTTCCCACCGTCACCATTTTAAGGTCTGTTCTCTATTACTTAATATACATAATGGGACCAGAACTTCTCTAGGTCCCAGATGTTCAGTAAGACACAAACAGAGAACCTATCAAGAAGTTTTTCCCTACCAAGTCAGAGAACTTGACAACCCTACTGAGATTTGGTTCTGGTAAATGTTTTTGTTTGGATCATTTTCAGTGCTGTTTGTTAATGTGGAAACATTGCAAAATGTCAATAAATTCATCCATCTCGGACAAATGTTCAGTGACAGTGAGTAACTTCCTTTAGTCTGAAGCAGACTACATTTGTGTTTAGTTGCTTAAAAAATTTTTATGCAGCTAAATATTTGTAACGAAAGTACTTTTTTCTATTTCCTCATAAACAATGCTAGATCTTTTCATTCTCTCTGATATCATCACTTGCTTGCGCAGGGTCCAGATGCTTCTGAATGCATGCTGCAAAGATATGAGAGTGTCCAAATGTGGGTGCATATTTTCAGTAAGTAAGTCAATTATGATGTTTCCAGCAGTACAGTGAAGGAGTGCCCTGTGCCACTGATGTAGGCCCTGATCATGGTGTTAACAACCTGATCTTTAACTCTGCAGTGCATTAAGCTGAGAGATGTACCATCAGCACCCACTCACTCAGTGTGGGATACACAGAGAGGACAGATAAAGGTTAGTAAAAGTAAAGGAGTGGAGAATTGGTGGTGTTTTTTGCCTTGGTTAATTTAATGTAGCATAAAATCCTTTGAATGGATCATAGAAAATCATGAAGTTGAAAGATGTCAAAATTTGCCTAAGAATCTGAATTATTTTTCTTCTCCAAATATTCTCACTTGTGACTGTGACAACCACTTAATAAACTAGATGAAAAGGTAAATCACACAATGGGAACAAATCAGTTTTGCACTTTTGCAGAGGTACAGTAAAAGCAAAGGACTCAAACACAACAAACTTACTTGAGCATTTGTGTGTTCAAAGTCCAAAAATAGAGGAATTAGTTATCAAAAAATATATAAAATAAAAAATATATAAAAATTTGAAGACAATTCAATATTAAAAGGACATCCACAGTGCACCTTGGCTGTAAACACCTCTTGAAGGAAAATGCATGAAAAGTTGACGTTGCAAATAGCATGAAAATATTTGCATATCTACAAGCACACATGCAGTATGTGCCTTTAATGTTGACCGTAAATCTGTTAACCATCCGTCCACACTGCTGAAACCCAATAAGGTAAACATGTTTTTCTAGTCAAACAATTTCTAAGTTTTAGCATACAGTTGAGATACCTTTCACACCACAGCTTATGCTAGTTTCCCCCATTTTGTCAAAAACACTCACCCGTGTTGGCGATGAGTGTTTTTGTCATCTACTTCACAATGTCAGAGTGTCAGATTTTATGTTTGATTTATATGTTCTCACTGAGTTATAGTGGCTTTGTGTTTGAAATAAAATAACTGACACCTGTCCTGAAACTGCTTCTCTTCTTCAGCCTACTTTATAAAAAGCTACTGGCCCAATTAGTTAGTGAATCAGCTCCCACCATGAGGCAGCAGGCCTGTACTAGGTTGTAGTCTCTGCTAGTCCCTACAGCCAAAAGTTATCAACTGACTAATTAGAGTATATAAAATGTAGTAACGGTGACGTTTTCTATTGAGTTGTAAATTTACATTTTGAAACTTGTACATTTCTAAATCCCCAAAAAGTCAATGGTGAATGAGCTTCTGAAATTTCTAATCATAAATTACAGCATTAATTCATATATACTGCACTATCTATGAAAAAAAAAAAAACTGACGTCAAAGGTCCAATTTGTGTTATAAAGGAGTCTTGATGCAGTTATCTGAGCAGTCCAGACCTTCTGAAAGAGTCAACTCACATATGTGTTAATAAAAATGAAATATTGCTTTATTTTGATCTGAAAATAAATATTTTCAGTGGAGCAGCACAATAATATCAACAGCCCAAAGGAGCGAAGAAGGATTTTTTTGAAACAGAAAAGACTCCATATGGGCAGCAAGTAGGGTGGACCATGACGCTCCACCCTCTGGTACTCACTTTTAACTTTAATCTTCACTTTTCCTCACCCGCATCCAAACTCTCTTTTTCCACGGTGGTGAAAGGGAAAGACATCCTCCAGAAGTGTGGAAATGTGACTGGAAAATAACTAGGGGCCATGGGTGTAGATAATCACTGCTTAAATGAGGCAGCTGTCTGTGTAAATAACTTGGAGGAGAGGCCAAGCAATGGTGGATGTGCAATACTTAAAATCTCACTTCGTGCATCTTAAAGTATGAACTTCCAAACTCTGAGGACAGACTGATTGCAATACACACGCCTGTTGTACACACAACTTTGAGAAACAGCAGTGGAAATTATCAACTCTATTTCTAATAGCTCGGTATTTAACAATGTCAGATAATGTGCTGCAAAATTAATAAGGCGCTAAAACTGGCAAAACCGTTGAGTCAGGTTTTATCTTTTCTGTCTCAACAGTTCATTAACAACCTCTAATTGCTGCACAGTTACAAAAATCAATTCAGTTATTAATAATCATTGACAAATGTTAATCCTCATAGCTCTTTTGACATGCTTTTTAAGCAGTAAGAAGTATGTCAGTCAACTACAGAAAACATCTGCCTCTCATAAAGCCTACAAAAAATGACTAGAGATGAGGAACAATAATTATATACTGTACAAAACTACAACAATACAATTATTAGAAATAGGTATATTAAAATAAGGATTCAAGGGGTGTGCAACTGAGTAATAACTTTAAAAAAATTACATAATGTTCATATTAAACTTTGAACAAGACAGACTGCTTACAATACAGTATCAGTGCAGAAAAACAGATATAAAACAGCAGAAATATTATTTAATAGTGATAACGGAATTACTGAAATTAAAAATTTCAGCAAAAGTCTAATTTATTGAGTTTGTATTTAAATGCTGTATTAGATTTTAGCTTTGTGTTTCTGTCAGTTATACCAGCTTATTAAGTAAAGCAGGTAGATAAGCAAGTTATTGTGCATAAACCTTTTAGCAATAGTGCTAACCTGTGGATCCTTTGTGTAAATATATTTTTTTTATATTATGTATACAATACCTAATTTATATTATATTATACCAAAATAAATTAATTAGCCAACAGCGGCCTATTAGGATTTTGCTTTCTCTTTAATCCTTTTTTCTTTTTTTTTTTTAAATCAGTGATTCATCCTTTAAAAACGTGTTTCAGGTTGTCAGAATTAGTTATTCTGCGTGGCTCTCCACATCTATCTGGGAAACCTGTTGACAAAGGTAGATTGAAACAGTTTGAGTGTAAAGTTGGCAAGCCAGGGAGACAGAACAGCTGTGAAGTGTAATTGCACATTTTATGTTTGAGAGACTAAACTACCACTCAAAAGCATGGCTTAAAAATAATCTTTCTTCACATTACTGGCAATGTATGTGGCAGGGCACCGAGGTAGGCAATACAATGAATACACAGACGTACAGGTCAAACCGTTTTTGTTACCAGTGGGGACAGCAAATTGGCAAATCAACAAGCATGCGCTCATCTCTCTGTCCTCTCCAGTTACATCCCAGACAGGAAAAGCAAGGGCAATGCATACATAAAAAAGTAAAGGACAAGGCATTTCTTTTACTGTTCCCTTCAAATCAGGGCTACATTTTTAGTGAGCATAAGAGATGGCAATTGGGTGTTTTGTCTCCGACCTCCTCGGAAGGCTTTCATTGGCTGTAGAGGGCATGGGAGACTGCTCTCTTGCGTTTCCTATTTACAGCACAGGGTAAATGAGTGAGGGAGGAAAATCGCAGCAGATTACCGTGCCAATTTCACATGGAAGCAGAAGAGCTCTGGAAAAGATAGATAAGGAAATTCCTATCAAACCGCTGCCAGCAAAATATGTATCCAATAGCTATAAACCACACAAATATTTTATAATAAACCCCCGAATAGTGATGGAGGAGGTTTCACCCTACAGCGTGGAAGCTGTATTTTTAGTTCAGCTGGTGATAATTACCGTCTATTCACCATGTGCTGCAGTGAAACGCACTATTAGGATTGCCACCATCAGAGACGGGAACACGCCGACACGCGCACACAAACACAGGTATACGGACAGATGACTCATGAAGACATTCATGCATTTTACATGCAAATCAACAACTGATACAGCTCTAAGTGTAAGTGTGGGGAGATTTGTTTTATTTTTGCATAGCATAGTGAGAAAGGGGGGGAAAAGCAATTAGCAACAGAACAACTCAAAGTAAATTTGCCTAAACACACAAAGTAGCATGTATTAGCATGCTGACACTATAGTGGAGCATTCAAATGAAACACTCCAGTTTTGTGTAAATGAAAAAAAACATGTCCCTGGCTTAATGACAGTAATGTGAGCGTTTCTGCACTTTGGTAAGTATTTGATTGTAATATATATATATTTTTTTTTCTTATTGTCTTAAGTTGAAGACCAAACTTTTAGGTCTGTTAGAATAACAAATTATTTCAATTTCCTAGATGCACAATAATGAGAGAAAAGATATGTCAGAGTTCTTTATTAACATTTTTAAAATCAGAAGTTTACATATAGAATGATTAACGTTTCTTTTAACAATGAGGGGAAACCCAAGTGATGATGTCATGTCTCAGGAAATGTTTCATGAATTAACATATATTCATAAGTAGTTAAGTCCACACCTTGAGCACATTGCTTTATTGCTTGACATGGAAGTAAAAATCAGCCAAGAGATCAAGAAAAGATCTGTGAAGCTGCACAAGTCTAGTTCATCCTTTGGAATAATGACCATTGTTACATTTGGAGGAAAAATGGGAATGCTTGTAAACTTGGGAATACCATCCTCCTAACTGTGGCAAAGGGAAGAGGCAGCATCAATTTGTTGTGAATTTTGCAGGACAAACTGGTGAATTTCTCAAAACTGATGAAAGTCTGAGGAAGTCAAATATCTAATTTCAGCCAGTAAATTAAAGCCCCAGTGCAAATAGATCTTTGAAATGGACCCTGACTTGAAGCATATTGCCAAAGTGGTTACAAGGACACAATGTTTTGGCATGGCCACCACAAAGCCCTGATTTAAATTCTTTAAAGAAATTGCAGGAAAGTCTGAGATAGAGTGCCAACGAGGCCTACATACCTGACCATTTTGCACCAGTTCAGTGAGAAGAAATGGGCAATAATTTCAGTAAACTGTTGTGAGAGCCTTGTGAAAAGAATCCTAAAAGGCTTGACCAGTCATCACACTACCAAATACTGGATAAATTTATGCACACTTATGACTTTGAAGAAACTAATAACTGAATCTCTGACTTATTTGTTCTGCTTTTGGTGCTTCTGGTTAAAAAGGAACCCTATGTGAAGAACTATATCATCATTTCTCAATAATTCAAGCAATACTTTACTTTGGGACCTTTTTTAAAGTTTACAAATCAGATAACTTGTAGAGAAGAAGCTTATTTTTATGTACAAATATTTTGCCATCTATTTTTACTTTTTTCTATCTATTCTCAGAGACCAAGATACACAGTCTTGCCACACTGGTGCAATATATGCTTTTCTAATCTTCATGTAAATATTCTAATACACTACACTACCTCAGGCTGTGCCATTAAAGTGATAACGAGGCACTCACCATGTTAGGCTCATTTCATCCCTGCCAAATAATTACTGGCATAAAACGCTGTTGTGATCCCACACAATGATTGTGCCCATCAACCATTAAATGAAAAAAACAAGTCTGTACATGACATGAAGGTGCCATATGCTACTGTTTCAACACATATCTGTAACAGTTTGCATAATAAGTTTTGTTAAATGGTTGTAAATAAGAGAAATACAAGTCTTATAATTTGCATCAGAACCCCGCAATAAAGGATAAATATGTAGTTATCTAGGCCTACATTTAATGTATTAAATGTGTGAAACATTGTTTTTTTTGTCAAACCACTATCTAACAGAATATAGGTTTTGTAAAACCAAGAGTTTGCAAATGACTACTAATTTAAAAGTCAATAGACATAGTTTAAACCTAATCTTTCTTACAACATACCTAACAATGCAAAAATCTTTGACTCCAAACAATAATAAATATTTGAATGTAAAGGTATGCATTAATAATCCATAAAAATCATACATTTTGAGAATTTATTGTAACAATGAGTGGGGACGAACAACAGTCGACGTCACCATTCATTGGCAGGAACTTCATCCATTTCAGTAATTCACTGTCTTCCCTCATGATTTCTGGGTCTCATTTCTAGTTATTGTTAGTTTGAGTGTGAAACCTGATTTTCATTCAGACGATGTTTGACTCCCTTCTCTCTAAAATCTGAAATCCTCAATATTCTCCTTACTTCGGCAATAGAAAAATGACAAATGTTTACAAAAATATTGTAAAATTGAAGCTGAACCGTTAAGACTAAATAAAAATACCAATGATGCCACATACATTGTAGAATAAAAATAATTGTGTGCTTTGATAGAAATCAAAAATCAATTTCCAATGAAAATATTATTTCTCCTTTTGGTACATAATCACTGTGTGGTAAGACGCAATAGGACTTTGAAGTTTACTTTGAAGCAATAGGACTTTAACACTTCCGCTTTATATTTTCATTTTCTCTACCTTATTGTAGGAAGTATAATTAAAGTAAAGAATTTTGTCAATTTTATGAAAATATATTTCGTAAAAATTAAAATAACAAAATTGTGGAAAACATCTATAAAAATATTGCAACTTTTTAGAGATTCTTAAAAGCTGTAAAATAACTTATCACTACATAGCAAAACATGTTGAGGAACATGGTATATACATCAGAAAAGAAAAAAAAAACTAAACAACAAAGTCAAAGTCAACTGCCTATAGGAATTTGCATTTAAATGTACAATTAATCCCAAAACTATTAATGCCATAGGTAGATTAAAGGTTTTTTTTTCTTATTTTTCCTTCAATCCAACATTTTTTTGTATTAGAAAATGAGCACATCTCTTAAAATACTAAATTAAAAAAAAAATTTAAAAATGGTGTCATTTTCCGTACAAAATGGGATATGAAAAATTATTTATACCCTGCTGAATAATTAATTAACCTCCCCTCAGTCTCACTGTGAC